GCAGTACGAATCGGGTCATCGTCATCGTCATCTGAGTCGTCTCTCGCTCGCGTACGGTGCTTGTGGCGTAGGGCTGCGCGCCTCGTCCTCCTTAGGCCTTGCCGGCGACCGCCTCGTCTTTTTACATGTGCTTCTCAGCATCATGGACGTGCTCGCCCTTTTTGCTTTCCACGCTTGATCTCGGCGAGGATGACGAGTTTTGGGCGGCATGATCTTGGCGGGCCATGGAAAGCGCAGTGTCTGTCCTCGGTCCTGGGCCGTCGTCTGGGGTAGGCGAGGCAGCCTCGACATCCTTGATGCTTGATGCTCTGCTCTGGGGCGCTGTTGCGATGCCACCGTTGGATGGCAGTCCCTCGGTCTCGCGACTCGACTTCCATTGCTTGTACTTGGTCAGGGAGAAACGTTCGTTCACCTCGTCCATGGTCATGAGCTTCTTTTCCCTGCGCCTTCGGTGAGGACGGGGCACGTTGGCCATGTCGATTTCAGCATTGGCAGCATTCTGGGCAGCGCGACGGCGATTGTAGCGGAAGCAGTACTTGACGCCGACGATGATCCTGACGGGGGAGTCAGCATGTTGAAGGCAGACTATATCCGTACGCGAAGCCTACCATAGGTTTGTAAAGACGACACCGAAGCCCAGCGCGACGAAGAAGAGCAGCGGCGAACTGGTGGGACCGCCGCCTCCACCGCCACCGCCATTATCAGGCCCGCCGGTGGGGCTGGGTTGGCTGGTGAAGGCGGCCTCGGTGGTGGATGACATTGTGAGTTGTGGCGTTGTTAGTGTCGCATGGGTGAGTGCATGTACCCGCGTGGAGGCTGGGTGGGTTTGTCAAGCGGGTGCGGAAAGCCTTTGGGTTGCAGTGAACGATCAGGAGACAGGCTGGGTTGCGACCGAGCAGCGAGCGTGGCAGAGATGCAGTGGGGGTGATGGAGCCAGGGCGAGTGCGATGTCGTGGGCGAGAGTGGGGTGGCGGGCGAGCGGTGACGGCAGCGATGCGGCCGTGGCGAGGACGTCGGCCACGGGGAGGGTGGTGCGCGACTGCGGGATGCCACGACGGCTAGCGGTGAATAACGACGACAGCGGAGTGGGCCATGCGATGCGAACGAGGCAGGCGATGATACGGGGCGGTTGCGCGCCGCGGTGCTCGCTCTCGCAGGCAAGGTGTCGGTGGTGGTGGTTGGGGGGGGGGGGAAGTGGGCAGGCGACAACAGCGATGGGGCTCTTGGGGTGCAATCGGGGAGGGGGGAAAGGTGCAAGGCTTAAGGTGATTAAAGGGCCGCAAAGACGTCGCTAATGCGGGCGGCAGGTGCCAAGCATGACAGGCAGCCTAACTTCGGGTTCCGGTGCGGCGCCGTGGCCGAAGCTCAGCCTGCGCCCATTCACTATACATGACGGCCGTACATACGTATGGATTATGCGGCGGCGTATCGAGGGCGCGCGAATGGCTCGGCGACGACAGGCAACGTGTATCCTCTGGGTGCAGAGGGCGAGAGCGTGTTGGGCGAGGGCGAATGCATGCATTTGTCACGACGCCGTGGTTCAGGCAATGCGCGCGCCTCCCAGAAACCCTGCGTTTGTGTCGCATGCCCACGTCGCCATGCTGGGGCGCATGCAGGCACAGGCACAGGCACAGGAGCAGGCACAGGCGCCATGGGCCAGCCGTGTGTTGCGCGGAGCGGGGCGTGGCCATGACTGCGGCTATACATGTACATGGTAATAGTACTGCGTGCTGCTACTTGTACGTATCCGACATGGTGTAGACAGCGGGTGCGTACTTTACATGTATGTCGGCGTGCTGGTGCCATGGCGGGCATGATCCCTGCCGGCGAGGGTGGAGCGCCTTCCCCAGCCGTGGCCGCTAGGCAGGAGCGAGGGCGATCGACGGGCCTGCGCGTACTATACATTACTTACACTTATGTGCGTGTGCGTGCGCGTGGCTGACCATTTGCTTTTTTTGCTCGGCTTTTCTGCTGCTCGCATCTCGTTCGCCCGAGCCGCTCGCGCCTGCCTGCCTGGCACAATCGCATCCGACGCTGCTTTCAGTAACCCTTGCGTGCACCCAGACAGTCGCCACACCTCGCCATACATCGCCATACATCGCCATACGTCGCCATACATCGCCATACATCGCCATACATCGCCATACATTGCCAACACACGCTCTGCCCCAGACTCTGCACACCACATCACGCCACAGCCACAGCCACAGCCACACCCATGGCCGACCCCACAGAGCCCAACCCAGTCGTCTTCTTCGACATCACCCTCGGAGGTGCGCATGCACTCCCCCCTCTACCCCTCAATCCCCCCCATCTTCCACGCGTCTGCGTCGTTGCTTGGCCGAGTGTGGCCTAGCATGCACATGCACATGGCCGCCCCGCACCCCCGACCCGACTCCAGTCACTGACATAAGCAACCAGGGGAGAAGTTGGGCAGGATCAAGATGGAACTGTTCAAAAATGTAGTTCCCAAGACGGCCGAGAACTTCCGCCAGTTCTGCACCGGCGAGACCAAAAACAACCGCGGCCAGCCCCAGGGCTACAAGGGCTGCAAGTTCCATCGCGTGGTACGTCGTGGCGCTGCTGCTGCTGCTGCTGCTGCATGTCTCGCACCACCTAACAAGACCAGATCAAGGGGTTCATGATCCAAGGCGGCGACTTCATCAATGGCAATGGCACAGGCTCGCGCACCATCTACGGCACAGAAAAATTTGCCGACGAGAACTTTGCCTTGCAGCACGACAAGCCTGGTCTGCTATCCATGGCCGTAAGTTTTCCACCAATCTGCTGCACTCGCCCAGTCTCACCCCCCCAAAAAGAACAGCGGGCCCAATACAAATGGCTGCCAATTCTTCATCATCACCTCCAAGAACGGCACGCCGCATCTGAACGGCAAGCACGTCGTCTTTGGCAACGTCATTGAAGGCATGGACGTGGTGACAAAGATTGAAAATACCCGCACCCTCGCCAACCCAGAGGGTAAGCCTGTGCAGGACATTGTCATTGCCCAATGCGGCCAAATGTAATTGCCTGCCATGTCATTGCTGCATTCTCCACGAAGCGCCGATTAGCTCAGCGAAGCATACCACGCCCACGGTGCAAGGGCAAGGGAAAACTAGTCTGTGCTTATGTAACAATCGACCCGCTGAAATTCTCGCGGCCCTACACCTAATCCCACCGTCGCGTGCATTCACCACCCCCCGCCCTCGCTGCACTCTTCGCCCGCCCACGGGCAACCAGACTGCTGCTCTCCGCCTGCTCCCCTGCTCCAATGTGAAGCCTTCGCCACTCTCTTTGCACCCAACATGGTCTCTCTTGCCTCGACTAGCCGATCGCCCGGCATCGTCTCCCCCAGCACGGGAGGCAGCCTCAAACGCAAACAAGCGGGCCACTCGTCCGACGCGGAGAACACGCCCCCGAGCCAGCTGAAGAAGCGCAGAGTCACCTTCGACCCCGACGTCGACGTCCGCATACTGAGCGAGCACAATGAAAAGAGCGCCGAGCTGGTCGGCGAGGAGGTGCGCCGGGCCATTGAAAAGCACGCGGCGGGCGACAAGGCTGCCTACGACATGCTCAAGGCTCTCTTCAAGGAAGCGCCCACGTCCACCAACGCGCCCTCGTCGCGACTCCTCCAGAAATACGTCATTGCCCTCACCAACCACACGCCCCAGCTCGACCACAACTGCAAAAGCCTGGTGCACGCCGTCATCGACTGCAGCTGGATCGCCCGCAATGAAGACTTCCTGCGCTCCTATCGCAACTTTCTGCGCTCTCTGCTGTCGGTCCAGTCTGGCTACATGACGACTGTGCTGCAGATGCTCGTCGACATGTTCCTGAGCACCCCGTCAGCAAATGCCAGGCAGCAGGATGACCCACCCATACAGCGCGTGCGCGTGCAGGCACGGATACACGAGACGCTCATCCTGATACTCCGATACAGCCCCATGGCCAGCTCCTTCCTCGCCCCCATCATCTCCAGCACGTTTCCCTTCTCCAACGACAGCGCCAAGACGCACGTCGAGTACATCCGCAACATCTTCAAGGTCACCGAGTACGTCCCCGAGATTCAAGGCCAGATCCTCGCACTCGTGACAGAAAAGCTGTGCAAGATTGACGCGCAAATGCAAATGGACATGGACGACATGGACGACGACCTCGAGGAGCGGCTTGTGGGCGACGCCATCCACAACGAGGAAGACGATGACGACATGAGCGACGATGGCTCGGTTTCGAGCGAGGAGAGCCTCGACCCCGAAGAGCGGCGGCTCAAGGACATCAAGGAGACGATGCTCAAGCTCGACAATGTCATGGACGTGCAGTTTGCCTACTACGACGCCATCTTTGAAAAGGGCGATCTTGCCGAGATGGACCGCACCTACCAGTCTCTGATTGCGCAGTTCCAGTCCATCATCATACCCACATACCGCTCGCGGCACACACAATTCGTCCTCTTCCACTTTAGCCAGCTGTCGACCGACTTTGTCGAGCGCTTCGTCGATAGCTGCTCGCATCTTGCCATTGACTCGAACCGACCTCCGCTACTCCGCGCATCAGCATGCGCCTATCTGGCCTCGTACATTGCACGCGGTGCACACGTGCCTGGATTTGTCGTTCGCAACGTCTTTGACCTGCTGTGCTCGCAGCTCGAGCGTCTACGCATGCTGCACGAACCCAAGTGCACAGGGCCTGATTTGCGTCGCTATGGCACCTACTACGCCATCTCACAAGCACTGCTCTATGCCTTTTGCTTCCGATGGCGCGACCTCATTGTCACACCCGACGGCACATTACCTACTGACGCCGACACTATGTATCACGAGGGCGACTTCCAGTGGCACCGGTCGACGCTTGAAGTGGTCCGCCGCAACATCTTCTGCAAGCTCAATCCGCTCAGGATATGCGCGCCAGATATCGTCAAGCAATTTGGCCGCATTGCCAAGCATCTACGCTTCACCTATGTCGATACACTTGTCGAGACGAACAAGCGTGTGCGGCTTTCCCGCAGTCTTGCCAGTGGCTATCTCAATGGCATAGGCGGGCGAGAGACTGCTCTGACGGGGAAAAAGGGCGAAGAGGCATTTTTGATGGATGCATACTTTCCATTTGACCCCTACGTGCTGCCGCGGAGTAAACGATGGGTTGAGCACGACTACGTGCAATGGAGACCTGTTCCCGGCATGCCTGTTGAAAAGGACGATGATGACGAAGACGAGGATGAGGATGAAGAGGATGAAGACGACGATGAGGATGAAGAGGATGAAGACGACGATGAAGAGGACGATGCTGACGACGACAACAATGACAGTACGTCTGACCAGGAAGAAGAAGAAGAAGAAGAAGAAGAAGACGAGGACGAGGGAGAAGATGAAGAGGACGAGGATGGCAGTACAGAGGCAAGTGTTTGATTTTTGAATTTATTCCTGGCGTTTATGAGCGGATGAGGGGGGGGGAAAAAGGAAAGGGGAAAGCATGGGGACTGCATTGGTCGGCGCTGGTCAAACGGGGTTATGGGTTTTGGTTTTTTTCTTCTTCTTCTTCTTCTTCTTCTTCTTCGTCTTCATTGTTTCTGTATTTCTGTGCTCTTTTTTTTATTTGGTTTATGGTTCGTTTCCTCTGGCATGACGGGGAATGTGCATTTCTGGGAGGAGGAGGTGGTGGTGGTGGTGGTGGTAGTGGTGGTGATGATGTCTGTACAGCTTGATATGGAGAGAAGAGAGTATGCATGACATTTTTCACTCGTTCATATGTAGAAAGTAGAAATGTTCAATCCAGGACAAAAACAATATAAATATGCATATACTTGTACACTTGATACAGACTTGAACACCATGTTCATGTATATATGTATATACATGTATATGGATTCATTTACATGTCAGACTTTGCTTTTCTTTTGTTTAGAGAGAGAGAGAGAGAGAGAAACATAGTTTGGACTACCTACATTGTTATTTACCAACTGACAGTTTGAACGACAGACTGAATGACAGACTGAATGACAGACTGAATAACAGACTGAATGACAGACGTTATATTTGTAGTTGTTATGGTAGCATCATGTGATTCAAGGGTATAACAAGGAACCGGAAAATGCGGGAAGAAGAGAAAAAGAGAGACCATGAACAGCCCGTTCCTTGTAGGGAGAGAGAGAGAGAGAGAGAAACAAAATGCCCATTATAAAATAGCAAGGAAAAAAAAAGATAACATCTATTGCGGATTGAACGATGATGATGATGATGAAGACGACACAGCATTGGTACCCCCCACGCCACTCTCACGCTTCCTTCTCCTCCGCTGGCGCGCATTGTCGCGCAAGAACTGGGGATCGATAAAGTCGTCGGGCAGCTCGAATTCCCTCTCGGGCCAGTCGGGAATGGGCTGACCAAAGGCACTGGCGTTGCGGCCGTGACGGTGCTTGCCGAGGGCTGCAGAGCGGAGATGTGGTTTCGAGTAAAACGACTGGAATGGGGCGGCGGGTTCGGGCGGCACCAGCGGCAGCAGGAAGCCATGTGGACGAGGGGGTCGTCTGGGCTTGGGCGGCTCTGGCTCCTTGGCTGCTTGTTGATGTCGTGGGGGTGGGGGATCGCGGCCGTTGGCCATGAAACTATCTGATTCCTCCGTCTCCTCGCCGTCTCCGTCGCCATCGTCGTCCTTTGCCGCGAGTGCTGCTTCCTTTTCTGCGCGCAGGCGTTTTTCTTCCTCCTTCCATACGCGGAACTTGTCGACCAGCGCCTCGACTTCTCTGATAAAGTAGTCGCGCTTGGCCTCCCAGTCCTTGCGTTCGCCGTCTGTGACGCCCGTGACGCCCATGACCTTGAGCCAGTCTGGGCCCTGCAGGCCGTCTAGCAGTCGCTCTAGTTGCACCTTTTCGTGCATGGCGCGCTCTTTTTCAATGTTGCGCAGCTGCTTCTCCTTTCGCTCGGCGCGGCGATGCTGGGTGAAGTAGACCGAGTCGGCGAGCGGGTCCTGGCCGTCGTCGTAGCGGATTGCGTTGGCTATGGTGGCGTAGTTGAGGACTTGGTAGGATGTCGAGGATTGGGCGGGGGATATGGCAGGATCCGAGGCATGGCGTGAGGGCGACGAAGGCGATGGTGGCTTGGCCTTGCGTGCGCGGCTTGGGCTCGCTGAAGTGCGCGAGGGCTCTGGCGTGGCTGGCACGGGGGTGGTGCCCTTGATGGGCTCGTCGAAAAGATAGATGGGTGTTTCCAGAGCAAGAAATTCTGCATGCAAGGTTAGCCAGCAGCCAGGGGCGAGCGGGGCGCGGCAAAGGGTTACCGTCTTCCTGGGGCACGCCGGCGATGATGTCGTCGTAGTTGTAAAAGTAAATGGCGAGGTCGCTCTTGAGGCGCGAGCCGCCATCGTGGCTCCTCAGACTCCGCTTGTCGGTCGAGGAGGGGGTGGATGCCGGGGCGGCGAGGGCCGGGGCAGGCGCCAGCTTGCCCGGGCTGGCTGGGCGCGGCGTTGACCTTGGGGAAGGGACATGGTCGGCGTCGAGATCCAGCGGGGCGGGCACACGGTTGGTGATGCGCAGCAGCTGGCCGTGGGGCTGTGTGACTGTGATTTTGGTGGGCGGCCTTGAGTCGGTCGCGTCTGGGTCAAGGTCTGTGGCGGGCCGCTTTCTGCTGTGGGTGCGGGCGGCGGTCGGCGGAGGAGGGGCGGTCGGATGAGGGAGAGGGAGAGAGAGAGGGAGAGTAGGAGGAGGAGGTGGAGGATGAGGCGGCGGCTCCGACTGCTGCGACTGCGACTGCGACGGGTCGGGCGAGGGCGGCGGCGGCGGGTGTCGTGCAGCAGGCGTATCGGTCGGCGGGTGGTGGTCTGCAAGCGCAAGCAGCGGGCCGGCTCGCGAAGTGCGGCGCGTCGCGTTGGGCGTCGTGTTGCGATGGGCTGGGGCGTGATGGGCGTGGGCGTGGGCGTCATCGCGCGACACAGGCAAGAAGTTGAGTCTGGTCTGCCGGTCATTCGAGCCTCGCAGCAGAGGCCGAACGGCGTTGGCCATGTTGAGCAAGGTTGAGATCATTCGCGACTGGCTGGGACATTTTTTTTTTCAGGCCGGCATGGTCGAGCTTGCCATTGAGGGTCGCGCCGGGCTGGGCTCATGCAAAACGCGAGCCGTTAGGGGGTCATGGACTGGCAGAGGTCGTCCGCGCTGTTTTGGCAGGCGAGGCTTGCTGCGCGAGTACCGCCTGGCTCGCTCGCTCGCACAGCGGCCCTCGACGGCGACGACGACGACGACGAACACGCCGCCAGCAGCAGCAGCAGCAGCACAAGGCGACGTCGGATTAAGCTTCATGGGCAGCGAGGGCTCACACACGACAATATTGCTGGGGGGCGGGGGGCACAATGGGGCCACTCGCAGTCGCAGCGCCGCGGCTGCTAGATACTTGAGCTTGACAGACATGGCGCCACCTCGGGGTGCGCGCAGCCAATGCCATGGGCGTCGTTGCACCAGACACGGGCAGGCCTCAGAAACAACAGCCCCAGTCGGCGTCAGCGGCCGGGGCGCGAACGGCTGCGTACGAGTCGAGTCGGGCTGCGTCGTCGGGGCGAGGCGAGGCGAGTCGAGTCGATGCATCATGGATCCATCCATCCACCCATCCGTGGCCGTCGTGGCACGTGAGACGGCCAGCCACCCAGTAGATGTAGTAATACACCACCCAGCACATATATGCAGTGATAACATACAACGCCCGCACCCGCCGCCTGCCGTGCACCCGCCGCCCGCGCGCCGTCATGGACGCCGTGGAGCCATCGTGGCCTCCCTCTCCGCCGCCCGCATGCGCCCTGATGGCTGGAAAAGGAAAGGAAAGAAAAGAAAAGAAAAGAAACAGCAAGGCTGGGCTCCCAATACTCTGATACGAACATGACATCACGAGAACAGAAAGTCGTTGAGCAGGGGCGAGCCAGCAAACTCTGGGTTGAGCAGGACGCAGCTAAGAATAGGTTAGCGCTAGGCGTGGTGTATCGATAACCACGACACCACTCGGCACGACACGACACGACACGGCCAGTGGCGGCATGGGCATGGGCATGGGGACGACGTACTTGAGAAAGTACGAGAGGGCCTGTTTCCGGCGCTCCAGAAAGCGGGGCCTGAAGCGGGCTGGCAGCGGTGGTCAGTCTCAGCATCGTCGGCATGGGCATGGGCATGGGCATGGGCGGCCATGGAGGTCGGGTCGGGTGACGTACAGATGACCGACTTGGGCGGAAACTGGGGCAGCGAGCCGGCGGCCAGAGGAAACGTCTGCAGCAGTTTCGCGTGCAGCTCGTCAAACTCCGAGTAGCTGCGGGGCGGGGCGTCGTCGTCAGCAGGCGAGAGGCAGCACAGGCAGCACAGAACAGGCAGCACATGTACACATACCGCTTGCGGATCTTCATGGGGCCTCCCTGCGCACACGCACGCCAGGTTAGCAGAGACATGAGTGTGGACATGTACAGGACATGTACAAGTGCGTGGGTATGGCAGGCCGGGGGGCGCGGCGAGGGGATTGGCTGCAGGGCCGTGACCGTGGCCATGCAGCCTAGTGCGTCGACAGAGTGCGGCTCGGCCAACTTACATGGAGCGTCTCAACCGTGCAGTTCCACACCACATAGGCCCCGATGCCAGGCGCCGTGCCGCTGACCACGACATAGTCGTCAATCGTGACGCCCTTTGCCCACAGCGCCTTGCAGTGCTCAGAGCCGTCGTCGGTGTGGTCCTCGAGGCCGATGGGCGCGGGGCGCCCGTTGTCAGCAGAGCCGGTGCTGCGGTTGCTGGCACTGCGCTGGCGCTGCTGCCAGTAGGGCGGCACCACGACGTTGCTGTTGCTGGTGCTGGTGCTGCTTGCCGGTGGAGCATCGCCAGTGCTTCCAGGGCTGCCTGGGCGCGGGCGCGACCCAGACGGCAGGCGTGCAGTTTCAGACGTCGCCGGCTCCATCCATCAACACAGTGGCTGGGCTAGGGCTGATGGCGCGTCAAACAGGAGGGATGGCATCGATAGGAAGCAATAAGCTAGTGGAGCACCAAACGGGAAAGTTCACGATAGGGTGCGTGCACGCCTCTCCCCGCCCGCATTGGCTTGCTCGCGCCCGGGCAGGCAGGCAGCGAAGGGCGGGCGTGGGGCGGGCGTGACGAGTGTGGCTAGGAGCAGCGGCGGGGGAGGGCGGGAGTGCATAATGTACATTGCCATTACACCTACTGTACATGATGGTGGGCGTGGGCGCGGGGGGCTGGACGGCGGCGGCTGGCGTCTTGTTGAGCATATCGCTCATGTCGCTGTCGGTGTCTGGCATGCGAAATTGCCGCGGCTGGACAGGGGGGGGCAGGGGCTGCTAGGCCTCTCCAGGCAGCGCCGCAGTGCCAGTGCCAGTGCCAGGGTCTTTCTGCCCGCATCCTGGCCTATGCCTATTCCCATTCCTATTCTACCAAGTCTGTTACCTGCTACCCGACTGCAACACTACACTCGCCATACAGTAGACGTTGACCTGGCCCCTCGCCCGCGCCCTCGCCCTCGCCCGCGCCCTCGCCCTCTCCTCCTTGTTCGCCCTCTCCCTCTCCCTCTCCCCGCCGGCCCCTCGCGCAGGCTGTCGCGACACCCCCCGTCCCCGCCACCGCTTTATATATATATATCGCGCCCAAGCCGTGCCAGGCGCCCTCTCCCTCTCCACCGCTGCATTCGCCCTCGCTCCTGCACTCGACCGCCGCCTGTCTGTCTGTCTGTCTGTCTGTCTGTCTGTCGCTGACCGAGCATACACACTCGCATTCAACCCACTATAATTCCTCCGCCTCACCCACCTCACCCGCTTCTTGCCACCCTCCGTCGCCGACATGATGCGCTCCTTCCTCACCCTCAGCATCGCCACCTTGGCCGCCTTCACGGCTGCCCAGACAACGTCGCAGAACAGCTACCCATACACCATCGACCCCAACTCGGTCGACCAGTCTACGAGGGGTATGCTCTCTCCTCCACTCTGCTCCACCCTCCTTCCCGTGCGCCGCCTAACCCGTCTGTCCAGATTACTGGTGCTCGCAAAACACCGCCCAATGCCCCCTCATCTGTCTGCAGCAGCCGGGCGTCACCTCCATGACCACGCAGGAAAACAGCTGCGACTCTGACAACCTCACCTACCAGTGCGTCTGCGACAACGGCGTCTCTCCCAACATTACCCAGTACTCGCAGACGCTGCCCTTCTTCATCTGCCAGCAATGGGGAAACAACTGCGTCAACAACTGTGGCAACGATCCCTCCTGCCAGAGCGCCTGTCGGTAAGCTCACACACAGCCTCGGCATATTCGCAACTTCAGACACGGCTTGCTAACAACTCGCCTGCAGCCAGGATCACCCTTGCGGTGCCCAAAACCCATACCGTGGCAACAGCTCGCTGTCCTCGACCATGGCTTCGACGCCCACGCCATCCGGCACCGCCAAGAACACCATCCCCGTCACTGGCTTTGGCGGCTCTCAGCCCACTGGCACCAGCCAGAGCGGCAACAACAACAACAACAACAAGGGCGCCGGCTCCGTCTTCATGCCCAATGCCGGTCTGGGCCTCGCTGCCGTCTTTGGCAGCGTCTTCTTCGGCTTCGCCATTCTCTTGTAAAACAGAGCCGAGGCAGCCACGCATGGCGAGACTTGTCTCCGTCTTCTCTTCATGCTAATTTCTTGTAATGTCTTGTTTGATCTCTCTTGCATTTTCACTCTCCCTTGTTCTGATGCATAGCGTTGCGGATACAAAAACATTCCTTTTCCCGGTTTTTCGATACCCATTTGGGGTGAGAGAGGAAAAGCCATAACTCGCTCATTTCACAGCGGCCTGGCGAGGCCCCGGACGAGACAAGTCACGTAGAGTCGTGAGAAGAAGCAGCATGGTGGTTGTAATAACAAGGCATTGAACCACTAAGGGCGTCATGTTCAGCCTCGATTAATCCAAGACATTTCTGATGTTCATATACACGCCTTTTCCTCGACTGAATGACAAAACCCATTACATAGCGTGGAAGAGTGAGATGTGGCTTATCCGTACTCCTCCGCACATGCATGCAGTAAAAACTCTCTAATACCGCGGGAATAAGCCCCAGAATCAAGAATAAAAATAAATCCAGAAAACAATATACATAACTAACACACATGCACATGAAAAACGTGCTGACACGCAATCTTCTTCACCAATACACACACATGCCCCAGTTGGTGACTGGTTCTGTTTCCCCCCCTAGCCACACCTGACACAGTGGCGCCAAACCCTAAAATCACGCAACCACATGCCCCCATTGTCACCGTTACCGTTACCGTTACCGTTATCTCGTCCGAGGCAATGCGGGAACGGAACAAGACGAACAAGGAGAGACTGTTTGTTCGGTGTGCTGAGCCGAGCCCGAGTATGCCCATGACCATGACCATGACTACTATGACTACGAGCTAGACCTACATGGCGTTAGGACCTAGAACTAAGTAAAGCTAGACCTTTTGCACTTTGCACGCTGGCGTGTGGGTGAGTAGATGGCTCAAGCTGCATGCATGCATGGAGAGTCGCGGCTAAATCTATTACCTTCCCTTCCCTCTTTCTCTCTTTCCCTCCCTCTCTCCCTCTCTCCCTCTCTTACCGCCATCTATCTACTTACCGCTTGTTTACCGCTTACTAGCTGCTGATAATACACAGCTGCCTATAATACCCACCTACGTACCTACGTACCTACGTACGTACACCTACATGATACATACCTGCAGCCCAAGTCATGCCCATGCCCGATAAACTTTAATTTTTATTTTCCGTAGCTGTTTTTTTTGGCTTTTGGCTTTTCTCCATCCAACGTCGGCACCTACAGTATGTATTACTTACATGCATACAAGTACTTACGTTACATGCATGATGCATAAACACTAATCCCCAATGGGTTAGAAGAAGCCCAAGTAACCTTATCCAGGATTAGCTAAGCGGTGTGTGTGTGTGTGTGGTTTTTATTTCCGGGGCGTTTTTTTAATTTTTTAAAAAGTCTCCGTATTTCATCTAATTAGAGTTTTTGTTTTGTTTTTTTTTGGTTTTGATCAAGAGGTCATGTTGACATGTACATACATGTGTATACTGAGATTAGTAACGGTGCTTGTACTGCACAACTATGCGATATTCAGAATTCGAAAAGCCACAAAAGAAAGGGAGAAAAGGGAAAAAAAGGGGTTTATGCATAGTCATGCGTGATTTTATATCGCGGTGCAATACAATACAATACAATACAATACAATGCATTCATATCGAATCCAAATGCAACGCACACTTCAATGCACCACCATGCTCATACATACATATACCACGCCATTTGCATACCTACAACACGGGTAATTGTTAAAACCCCATCTTGCAAGCACTCGGACCACCCACGTCTTACACTCCCTTTTTTTTATTGATTGATTGAAATTGCACGGCTACATGCGTTACCGAGAACAATGCCCAGTCCATCCTTGGGGAGTGGCCAACTAAGTAAGCCATCTATGTACGTACGTAAAATGCTAACCCCGAGTCCGTGACTCGGGCTACTTTTGTTGCTATACTACATGCAGCTGTATGTCTATACTCACAAGCAGAGACTATAGACATACCTACATATACCATATCACCTATATACCACATCGCCTATATACCACACCACCTACATGTACAGCCGCTCACGCTCCTCTTCATCCGCATCCTCCCACCAACGTGTCTCTTCCAGACACGTGCTCGCCCTAGCTTCACCCCATCTAGACCCCCCTTTTCCCCCCTTGCTCATCCCTTCCTTGGTAACCATTCCGTGCGCGTCTTGGCTGCTGTTCGCTTGCACAGACGCCAGGGGTGCGGGATGCGTAATGCTGAAATCCGGCTGATCTTCTTCTTCTTCTTCTTGTGCTTTGATATGCTTAATGTTGCTACTACCACCCAGTCCGGCGCTAATAGCGGGACTGGGCAGAGAACACAGATCAAGGGAGCCGGTGCCCGTGTCGAGCGACTCGCATGACATGCGGAACATGTCTTCGCTTGATTCCCATGGCGAATGCACGTCGTGTTTCGGAGGCCCGAGACTCAGCATTTGCATGGTAAGTGGCGATGAGGCTAGCGCGGGCTGGAGAGACGGTGTTGACGGAATGGTGTCGGTCTGGTCATCGCGTTGAACTAGGCTGGCTGACGATGAACTTGTCGAGGATGGCAGAGAAGTCTCGCTCGGTGTTGGAGAAAGGAGGTGCGTCGTCATTCTTGCTGAGCCATGTATGACGCTCGACGACCGACGGCTGCTGTGGTTGGATGGAATAAGAATAGGCACCGAATGTCCTTTGCTGTCCGTCACTGATGAGTCGCTGGCTGGTCGTGGCGCAATTGCCTGCGCAATTCGACGTGACATTTCAGGCCTGATGGAAGCTAGCGGAATGTCCACGCTAGAAACCGATGATGCTGGAGAAGCACTGTGTTCTTGTAGCCAAAGAAACGGCGATATAGCGTGGCAAGGACTGATTTGTCGCACTGTAGTCTTGTTCGTGTTCCGCCTCCCCTCTTCAGTTTGTGTTGACGAAAATGGGTGATGTTCCAAGCTAGTGAATTCTGCCTGTGGGATGTCTTGCGTTTCTTTAGGCGTGAGAGGCGAGACGGCCTCTGTTGAGACACGCGGAAGAACACCAATCTGGGCAAGACAAGGTGCCGTCACCACCAATGGCTCACGGCCAGATAAGAGCGGCGCTTCTTCCTGTGGACTTCTAGCTGCCTCACCCATGACCATGCGCCCCTTTCCTTTGTCCTTGCTTGGCCGTCGCGATTTCAGAATGTCACTGAAACTAAAGTGCGAGTCCTTGCGCATTCGAGGCTCAAACTCAAAGTCCTGACTGCCGCATATTCCAGCGATATTCTGACTATCCTGATCCCGATTGCCGTTGGGCATTGTTGGGCTGTGTAGTCCTGCCTGGAAGGTCTCCTGGAAGGCAACCCAGTCAGCAGTGTTGTAAAAGGAACTGGGGCCAACCTCTCCGATTGCGTCAAAGTACTCGCTTACATTCGGTAGCCGGGATTGTCCATTCCATGTCGGATGTTCAGGATGGCATTCGAGGTTTGGTGCTGGACCATGCAGGTTGAGAGATGTACTTGAGCTACGTCTGCCAGTAGAGTCGCGTGACGGGCTTGCATCTCCAGTCGAGCCTTTGCGGTTACCAAACAGCCGATGGAGCTTGAAACTGAGCCTTTCGATAAACTCGCCAACTTGTGAAGGCCTTCGCGCTCGATCCATTCCGTGTTCTATCCGGTTGGTCGCAGGGCTGGGCATCGCAGGAGGGGTCAGAGGTTGCGAAAGGTCGATATGGGACCATGAACGCGACATCATATCGAATTCCAATGGCAGTGGTGCGCAAGAACAGCTTATGGATAGAGTGGAGTGGGATTTTTTTCTCCGCTTCCCAAGGCAGCCATGCGTGTGCACAGAGTGTTTTGATGCCGGTCGTTTTGACAGAGCCCGCGGGGAATGAGGCAATTGAAGTTGTCCGGAATCAAAGTCGAGTTGGTGAGCGCTTACAGATGACGGCTCAGTACAAGATGAATGGTGACGAGACGGGGGACCCATAGCCCAAGGTCACTGAGAGAATTCAGGATACAATCGAATTGCGTAGATGAAGTGGCAATTGGGCGTCCTTGGGCAGGATGAAATGTGATCAAGATACCCCGGCAGACTTTAAAAGCTCGCGTGTAAGAAGTGGTACGATGGGCAACAAGGCTGCATCTCGGGCCCACGCACTAGGGACGTATTCGTAGCATCGGCAAAAGTGCTCAATAGTGGGCGATGCAACAAGACACAGGTCGGCATGATGGCATGGCCCTAGCTGGAGAACCATGGCACCAACCATATGACATTGTTGAAGCTGCGACGGAACTGTATGGAAGAAATGATAAGGTCTCGTGTCCTGAGTCGTGCATGATATGTACCAGACACGACTATACCGAAGCTTTCCAACAACCCCCTGTCTCATTGAAACGTTAGGGATAAAGAGACTTTCTCAAGTCCCACGGTCCTGTCCCCTTGTTTGGGTGTCCTAATAAGGAAAGTTTCGCCATTTGCGACCAATGTTGCTATGTAACTCTAGATCCTGGGGCAGCGTCTCCACTGGTACCGGCTCAAAGGAACAGGTTGCCGGGACACCAGACGGAATCATGCCGAGTCCATCAAGGTTGCTGCCGGATGACAAGAGGGTTCAGCGGAGCGGTAGACGTGCGGTAGAGTGTCTTGTGGTGCATTGCCACGATTCTGTCGCAGCCGAGCAGGCGCTGGCGGCGAGAGCGCACGCAGTCGAGGGCCTTGTGCGCGCCTGGAGAAGATGACATATTTCTGACGGGCCGAATGGTGGCTCTGGGTTAGGATGAGGATAGACGGCAGTGATGCCGCTGGATCAGATTGGCGGTTGAGGTGTGGTCCGGAAGGAGGTCGGAGGAGAGAGGCAGCCCCACATTGCCAAGGGCATGTCGTGACGACCTGCCTGGAGAAGAGAGCCCCTAGCGCCGATCTGCAAAGGCGCCACACCAGCCCGCCATGCCACCACCATGCCACCGCTGGCCACCTGTGAAGCGCGAATACTTGCGCATGCCCCAACAACCTCCCCAAGGCCCCTGATGCCGCCTCGAATGCCGCTGGGAGCGCCCCGGGCTCTGCCGTTGCGACGGGCGCTCTGGGTCCGCCTGCAGTCTCAGCGGAGGTTTGCCTCGAGCTCCGCAGAGGCACTCGATGTCTACGACGTCGTCTGCGTAGGCGGAGGACCGGCCGGCCTGAGCCTGCTGACAGGCCTCAAGGCATCGCCCGTCACCAGCGGGCTCAAGGTGGCCTTGATCGAGGGCCAGAATCTGCACAAGAGCCGCCTGGCGCAAGACGCCAGCCTCGAGAGCTTTTCGAACCGATGCAGCTCTCTCACACCGGCCTCTGTGAGCAACCTGCAGGGTACGCATGGTCGTGTGGATGCTCCATGGTGCCATTGTCTAACCCGCGCTGTGTAGAAATCGGAGCATGGGCGCATGTCAACAAGCCCAGAGTGCAGCCCTACCAGGAGATGCAAGTATGGGATGGTGTGAGCGATGCGCGCATCTCCTTCGACTGGCATACCGCGAAGCCCCTTCTTGCGCCCCGTAATCCCGCCCAGCCTACGACCATCGCATACATGATAGAGAACGTCAACACGGTGACTGCGCTGCTGAGCCGGCTCGAGCAACTCGGCGGCGTCGATTTCTACACGTCTACCAAGGTCGACTCGATACAGCTGGGCGCCGACACAGACAAGGTGGATTTTTCGTCGTGGCCGGTACTCTCTCTGTCCAATGGAAAGAGGCTGGCCGCAAGGCTGCTGGTGGGAGCGGATGGGGCAAACAGCCCAGTGCGTGCGTTTGCAGGCATCGAGTCCCGAGGGTTCGACTACAACCGGCACGGCGTCGTGGCCAGCTTGAAACTCGAGGGACAAGGCTGGGGCGGACCAGACCACAAGATTGCATACCAGCGCTTCTTGCCCACGGGACCACTGGCTATGCTGCCGTTGCCGGGCAACATGTCGACGCTTGTATGGAGCACAACGCCCGAGCGTGCAGCTAGGCTCAAGGCACTGTCGCAACAGGACTTTGTTGCCATGGTGAATGCAGGCTTCAGACTGTCGCCCACTGATCTCGAGTACCTGCATACACTGTCGTCGGGACACGAGGAAGAAGTTGCCTGGCGCGAGAAGCACACGCCTGTCGACGAGCACGCCATACCCATGCGCGTGACCAAGGTCCAGGCCGGGACCGTTGCGTGTTTTCCGCTCCGGATGCGACACGCAGACACGTACACGGGCGAGCGAGTGGCACTGGTCGGCGATGCCGCGCACACGATACATCCGCTCGCAGGCCAAGGCCTTAATCAAGGACAGGGCGACGCCGCAGCGCTCGCTCGCACCATATCACATGCCGTGCAGACGGGCCAAGACATTGGGTCTACATTGGCGCTGGAAAGCTACAACAGCGAACGGTACGCCGAGAATAACGCCATGCTGGGCGTCTGTGATAAGCTGCACAGGCTGTACAGCGTAGAATCCGGCCCAATCGTAGGGCTAAGAAGTCTTGGTTTGAGAGCGGTGGATGCAATGGGCCCGCTCAAAGGCTTCTTTATGAGCAAAGCAGCAGGCGGGTCGTGAGCCGCAATCCTTGTACTTTGATAGTTGTGCATATGTCTGTATCCATATACTAGCTTGGCAAGCCCACGGAACCTGGAATCCGGCTTGCACAATACCACACACACACACATTTGCTCCTCGGACACGAATTTTTTTTTTCGCTCCCGTCTGTGTACATGCCATTCACCTTCCTAATCCATAGACTACTGAAACATTCAATCGAGATCGAGACCTCTGTGCCTGCAAAGCCGCCCCACAAAGCCCGCTCAACTGACTAACCAAAGGTGCTCCATGCATACCCGTCCCATTCCGCCGCCAAAGCCTCTTGTTCTTCCTCCGTTTCCATCTGACCCATTCCCGTCAGCACAATGGCTGACCAGCACCAACGCGAGATTGAGGCCTTTGGCTCCAACGACGACTTTTGGATTTTTGGATACGGGTACGTCCAGCAAAGCACTACTATGTCAATTCATCTATTATTTCCTTTGCCATTTTGCATGACTCGCATCGCCCGCATCGCTGGGCTCTCCCCTTGCCCTTGTCCTTGCCATACCCTCCATCACACACACACCTCTTTTTTATTTTATTTTTTCGCAACCAAGGCAATCCCGACATGTGTGCGCGCCGTCGCTGCATTGGCGTTGCTTTGTGGCGTTTTCCGAGCTAACCCGCGTTGTTCTTGCATAGGAGCTTGATCTGGAAGCCACCGCCACACTACGGTACGGGCCGTTCCTTTAATCTTCGTTGACCCCCCCAAAAAAACCGACGCGATCAGAGAAAAAAAAAGCACAAAGGGAATGTACTCGGTGCTATTTGGCGGAGAGAAGAAAAAAAATAAGCTTAGCAGTGGATTGGTTTTTCTGGCCACGCAAAAGAGATGGGAAAGTCGGGTCCCGCCCTCCGTCATCATCCACTCACGCATCCACCCCCACATGGCCTTTTTGATCTTTAGCGTCGATCTGCATATTCACCGGAACCGAGCGATCTTTCATCTCTACTAGTAACTACTCCTAGTAGATCTTGTTCTTGTTCTTGTTATTCTTGTTCATGTCGTTGGAGAAAGAAAAAAAGGTCTCAAATCTCTAACAACCATGCAACCAAGCAGACCAGCGACTTCCAGGCTACATTGAAGGCTATGTACGGCGCTTCTGGCAGGTACGTATACGCAGAGTCCGGTACTACTTACTACTTTTACCAAAAAAGGCTAATGTAACGGGGCTTTCCTCCCCATATCCAGGCAAGGTAAGAAATATGGTTTAAACCCCCCCCCCCACGATTCTGCACGCAAAAAGAGAAGCCAAGTCGGATGGATACCTTGCAAGCAGAAACAAGTGGATGATAGTTGGTGACAGTTGAAAACTTGTAGCGAAGATCACCGGGGTACGCCCGAGGCGCCTGGGCGCGTCGTCACGTTGATTGATAGAGCGCATTGGGCCACGTTGAAAGATGAGGTGAGATTTTGATTTCCCCCTTAAGTACGTGTACATACACTATGGACCTTGTGTACTATGTACATATACGGTTTACGTGAGATGATTTTTTTTGGTTTGGTTTGGTTAGTACTTTTTCGAGGAAAGATGTGGTTTGGCTGTTTTTTTTTTCTTTTGTTTTCGGCCACTAGGACATGGCAACACCCCGATGCTGGTAACCACTTCATGTCCATGTACATTTGCATGCGGCATTTTGATTTTTCTTCCACCTATACTAAAAATGCGCTTTTCTAGCATGATTCTCCTACACGCGTCTGGGGCGCCGCCTATCACATTCCCAAGCGGCATGTCGAGGCCGTGCGCAAATACCTCGATATCCGAGAGATTAACGGCTACTCGATCCAATTCACACCCTTCCACCCGGCCGTCAGCAGCGCACAGGTCATTGTGGAGCCCGGAGCGCAAGCCGAGGAACCCGCGTCGCCCTTGTCCGGCATCAAGGTTACGAGCACGGCGACCGTCATGGACGAAGTCGAGAACATCAAGTGTCTGGTCTACATTGGACTTCCCGAGAACCCCCAGTTTCTAGGCTCCCAGGATCCTGACGCCTTGGCCCAGAAGATTTTGGAAAGTAAGTTTCTTCTTATTCTTCTGCCCAGTCGGCTTACTGCTCTGCATGTCTACTCTTCTAACATGTGCTGATGGATGGTTCAGGCAAGGGCCCGAGTGGCGAGAACAGGGAGTATCTGTATAATCTCGAGATTGCCCTGTTAGGATTAAGTACCGACAGCGGAGATGAGCACGTTAGTGACTTGGTAAGACGGTGTAGAGCACTTGAAGAAAAAGGGGGCGTCAGGGAGGAAGACGAGGGTGACGACGAGGCGGAGATTTTGCACAAAGTAGGAAGCACAGAGGAGCAAGAGGAGGTTGAAAGGTAGATGATGACGGAGCCGTAGTGCGGACCAATCGAAACCGTATGATAGAGAGGGCTGCATGCCATCAGCCACAACAACGCCAGAGAGATGCATGAAGAGGCCTAAAGATGCAAAAAAAGAGTACAAACCAAACTATGCCCATGCGCCAACAAGAGCCATTAGCAAGGCGCCGCCGATAACACTGATGCACGCCTGTAGTCGGCGCTTGCCACGCAGAATGACGTAGCTCTCGTCGCTCAGGAAGTCTTCGGCGAGGAGCTCGACCAGACCAGCAAATAGAAGTAAGCCACTGGAGATGGCGTTCATGAAGCCAACCGTCAGTAAGCCAGCCTCACTTGCGGGGTCGTACAGCCTGTGGATGGCCAGTCCTATGGCCTGGCCAATGGGCGTCGTGGTGCCGTAGGCCAATGCCATGAGCCAAGGCTTGAGCGATCCAGGTGGGAAGTGAACGGCGCTGATTCTTGCGCCGAGGGCAAAGCCTTCAAATGTCTGGTGGAACGAGATGGCGACCAATAGCACAACAAAGGCCGTGCCCGTGGCCACGGAAAGCGCCATGCCTATGAAGACGGAGTGGAAGAGGATGCCAGCCTCGAGCAGCAGGCATTGCAGGAGCAGCTTCTTGTTCTGAGCCTCTGTCTTCTCCGGGGTTTCGGGAGACTCGCCGCGAGCGTGGCTGTGCTGCTTGGGCACCTGAGGACCTGGCAGCAGCTGTGACTCGTCTTCCGAATCTTCCGCCTGCTGGCGAGCCAACTCCTCCATGGTAATGTCCAGATCAGAGTCATTGTCGTCGTCATCGTCATCGTCGCGGCCCATGTCGTCGCCCATGGATTTGCGGCCGCGCGCTTCAGTGGGCATGCTTGGCGTCATGGGGGATACGACCGAGATGGAGGGTGATCGGCCAGCCATCAAGTTGGCCGACGACTCGACGTCGTGGAGCATGATGCCCGGTGCATGGCCGTTTGTGCGCGCCGTACCGTTGGCGTACATGCCGTAGCTATGGCTCCTCTTGCGGGCTGGGGGCGCATGGTCGGGGTCGGTGTCGAGGCCCAGGTTCTCGTAGCCTGTGCCGTGCACGTGTCCGGCGCCGCGCGAGGCAAAGAACATCTCAATGGCGACGACGACGAAGACGGCCGTCATGGCGACGAGGCCGGGCATGGCTGGATAGCGCTTGTTCCAGAAGTGGGGAAGACATGGATCGGTGAGCGACTCGAAGGCGGTGGGCAGGAGGTGGACGAAGGCGGTGGCTATGAGGACGCCGGTGCCAAAGTGCCGCGAGATGAAGAGGAACTGATGGGGGACGGGGATCGAGGGGAAGCGCTTGACGACAATGGGGAAGGAGCAGGCTAAGGATGCGGGTTAGCGGCATGTCCGAGGGCGCAGGTTTTGAGGGGGGAAAGAGGGGGGGCAACGGACCAGCAGTGCTCAGGGCGAGGATGAGGGCGAGGGCGAGGACGTGCAAGGTGGTGTTGTAGGTGCCCTTGTTGCCCTTGTGGCCGCAGGCAGGACGGCCATCGGCGGCGTCTTGTCGTCGAAGCAGCTCGGCATGGAGGAGGTGGGCGGGGATATCAGCGAGGCGTGGGGGAGACAGCATCGTCGTCTGTCACAGTGTCGGAATGCGGGCGCCACGGGGGGCTGGCAAAAGCAGCTGCAGCTGGGCGTGGTGGTGTGCATGGCCGGTGTCGACTGAAGTAGCAGCGGCCAAGGGGACGCGCGGACCCGGTGCGCTTACCCTTCCCCCTATGTGCAGTAGCAGTAGGGACATTTGAGGGTGAGCCGGACCTCGGGAGCGCCTTGTTCCTTGGGCCGTCGACGCTGATGTTCACACGCGCTGTTGGGGCACGCATGCTGCGCTCGGCGAGCCCGGTGGGAGTGGCAGTGGGAGTGGCAGTGGGAGTGGCAGTGGGAGTGGCAGTGGCAGTGGCAGCCAGGTGCTCGCCGGCGTTGATCGCATCGTGTTTGGCAACGGGCCCGATATGCACCATGGGGCACGAATCGAGCAGAGGCGGGACACAAGCATCCGACGTGCTGATGGTGCAGGCTTCGATAGTCTTCTCCTGCGCCGCCTTGGCGCGGCGGGCCATGGCTACTACACGTACACCTCCCTACATACTAGATTCATCCATATACATGTACATGCACCGTACATGTACTCGGCCCCGGAGACTGGCTGACTGACGGACGGACTGACGGACTGACGGACTGTCCAACGCCTCCTCGCGTGGCCACGGTGGATGCAACGCTACACATGCATCCATGCTCCCATGCTGCCATGCCTCTATCCATCCATACACGGAGCACGATAGACCTGCGCCTGCAGCCGTCGCCACGGACCAGGCTCGTGACGCTATTTTTGATACCTGACGTACATGGGATAGCTAAGTACTTATAAGCCGGGACCCTGCTTCGCCTTGGACGACGGTGCAGCCGGCTACTACTACAAGTAACGCACGAGAGAATACCGCCTTCGCATCGAGGAGCAGCCCGTTGCTCCCAGGGTCCAGCAGTCGCGGCCCCCTCGCCCCCCTCGCCCCCCTCGAACCTCCCCCCCCCCCAGCCCGGCTTCTGCAGCCTAATACGAATCAGGTCCTTGATAATACTATAGCTTCCGCCTCGCCGCCCCTCTGCCCTTTCCCAGCAGCTCTGCCAGGAACCGCATCCCCCCAGCCCCCCAGCCCATCGCTCCCGCAGGCATACTACTACATGTCATAATCAAAATGGTGGCAGTGGCAGCCGAGCATCGATTAGGAAAGCCTGGGCTAGTCACTCCCCGTACCCTTTGCCCGGTCACGCCCTGCTGAGCCCCACCACTGCCCACGCACCACTGCTCTCCCCCTCTCTGTGCACGACAAAACAGCGCCCCGCTGGTTCTGCCACGGGCGCAAGCTGGCGTCTTCGAGGGCCAGAGAGAAGCCAAAAAAACAAAAAAAAACAAAAAAAGAAGCGAGAGAGAGAGAGAGAGTGAGAGCGTGAGAGTCTGGCGGCAGCTGGGCCCCAGAGACGGCGCCGGCGCGCCTAGCTAGCAGCCCAGAATGTCCCAGCAGCACCAGCAGCACCAGCACCAGCACCAGCACCAGCACCAGCCGCAGCAGGGCTTTCTGTTCGTCGACGCCGCCCAAGCAAAGACATCTCGCCAGGGCCGCCGCAATGCCCGCTCGTTTGTCATGCAGAATGCGCGCAGGAAGAACCCGTGGTCGACCAGCAAACACGCTGCAAAGCAGAGGAAGCCCGGCAGCCCTGAGAGCACCAGCACCAGCCCCAACAGCGTAGGCACTTCTCCCTCGACCCAGACCCCCAACACGGCCACGCCAAGCCCTCCGCTCGCCCTGAAGCCCTCTGATTACTTTCCTCCCCAAGACCGCCGCCACCGACCGCGCCCAAGACGAGACGTCTGCCCACACTGCCGTGTCGCCCGCTGCCGCCCCGGCGAGCGCCTGTGCCTGGCGTGCTTGGTCCGCCGCCCGCCGCCCGCACACGACCCCAGCAATGAATCGTTTGACCCCTTCCGCACCGCGTCTGTCGACGTCACCCGAAGCGTCTCGGAGCTGTTAAGCCATTGTAAGTCGTGGTAGTCCCTGCATCCACCCATCCATCCATCCATCCATCCATCTCCTCGGTTCCATACCGACAGTTTACCCGTCCAGTCTCCACCGAAATGGCGCCGGGAATCATTGCCGTCGACATTCGCCATCGCTCTACCCTGATGAAGTCCGACTGGTTTGGCACCGCCATAACTAACCAGGGCTTCATGCATAGCCTCTTGTCCACCATTGCCCTGCATGCCTATGTCTTTGGCAAAGGCACCATCGACGCCATCCTGTACCATCGCGCCCAGGCAATTGCTGCTGTCAATGCTGCCATACTGACGCCAGAGGGCATCTCGGACGCGAATATTGGCGCCGTCTTCAATCTGCTCACCGTCGAGGAAAGCCTGCTGCTGCCGACCTTCAGGCTTGACGAGGACCACATGGCCCAGCTCCAGATACACCAGAAAGGTCTGCAAAGAATGGTGCAGCTGCGCGGAGGACTCGGTGCGATCAAGACAAATCGCATCCTCCAGGCCTTTATGCTTTGGTGCGTAGACACCTTTCCCCCACGTCGCCGCCTGAACTGGGTTGGCATGTGCTTACTGAGCACCAGGCACTCGACCGCTCACGCCGTCGCTTCGTTCCAAGCACCCAACCTCTCCACCTTGGATTTCATCAGCACCGCAATCTTCCCACGCCACCCTCCGGGATACCGGCCCAACATTTCGCACCACTTGACCGACTACTGTCGCTATGCAGGTATCAAGTCGTCGCTAAACGCCTTGGTGGAGTCGGTCCTCGTGCTGATAGCCGACCTCAATGTCTGGTTCAGCGACCCCCAAAGCCCCCTAGATCCCCTCGATATCCAAAACTTTGCCTGCGTCTTGGAGTGCTCGCTACTGGCATGGCTGCGGGAGAACGAACAACTCGTCACGCCTCTGGAAGACGCCCTATGCGTCGCCCTGCTCATCTTCACCGTGCGCACCACCGAAGCCATGAAGCTGCAGTCGCATGTCCACCTCCTCCACTTTGCTGCAAGTAAGCGCCTCGAGAAAGCACTCAACTGCACCATCCGAACCGAGTGGCAAAACTGCCCCGACCTTTTACTCTGGATCCTGTCCATCGGCGCCATATCAGCTGACCCCTCACCCGAAACGGCCTGGTTCGTTTACCAGACATCGCTCGCCTGTGCTGAATTCGGCATCGACTCGGCCGAGATGCTGCTCGAACGACTACACCTGTGCGGCTGGGTTAGCTACAAGCTAAATAAAGCTGTATGTCGCCTATGGGCTAGTGTTGTTAATCTCAGGTTAGATGACCACAAGATCCTGCCAATGCATTCGTTTGCTTATATATGATTTCGTCTTGTACGTAGGCTCGCGCCATATTTCGAAGCGCCCTTCAAAGCTGAAGACGCCAACAGCCCCATCGGACCTCTGCAGCACCATGTCGCCGAACCAGACTTGGATGCATGGGAAAGTATCGACTGGGCTGCTCTCAGCCTGGGCCACGACCGCGCGGACAATGAGCAAATCAAGACTTTGGGCACAGGACATGGGGCCACGACTGGGACACCCAGTGAGACATATAATTTTGGAAGTGGCTACGGGTTCGCATGTACGTCTCACAATGTTGATATGTGCTCAGAGGATACATATCTACCCTCTCATGACCCTCATGACGGACGCTAACGATCTTGGCGCGCTTGAAGGGCCTGCAGCACATCAACTGTACGCACGCTAGATAGCCACAGGCAGGGAGAGGCTTGCTTCACTACACGACTGGCATATGTTTGCCAAAGACACTCATAAGCTTGGTCTCAGTCCAGGGCAATTCACGTCACTTGTGAACACACATATACCCTACTCGACCTTTGCTTTGCAATCGTCGACAGGGTGGCTCCTATACCGACAAAGGAAAGAGATGTGTAATGGTTCTGAAGACATACTATATGCTGTTTGACAAAACTGTCATCAGTGTAGGTTCATACATGAAACACATTGCTCAAAGTCAAGGTGGCTCTGATTGGTGAAAGCTCGGTAGCCACAGTGGCCTATTTAGGACACTGTTGGAAGCGATGGCGCTGAAGCGGCAGAGCCAAGCGGCAGAAGCCATGGTGTCTGCGGGAGTATGAGAGAAGGATTTGGGAGGAAAAGAACAAAACTACACGGAGGGAATATTTGAGCGCTCCTGTACTCCGTCCCTCATGTATCAAGGTCGACGGTCTCTAGCAAAAGAGTTACGCGTAGCGCCCAATTCACAAACAGCAGTTTCAATACTATCATTTCTCAGGATCCATCAATTATGGTACAGCGTATAATTGGGACCCAACCGAATCCATGTGAGAGACGTTCTAAATTCATGGCATTGGTAGTCAGTTCAGTGACGTCATTGGATACTTGGCTCACGACCAGAAAGGACTAGTCTCCTCGTGACACCGCGATCCTGGGAATCGCGTACCCTGTCGTGGCGAGACTGCCTTGGACCGATGGGACTACTCAGCAGCTTGCGACTCCAGCTATGCCGCTCAACCCACAAAGTCCCTCCGTGCACAATCAAATGATCACTCGATTTATCAAACATCCAAAATCTACAAACTTCGATGGCGAGCAAGACAAACCCACCAAGCGTCCAAAGACTGGTGATAGTCCGAAAAAGGCACCTCCTACACCACGCAAAAAGATTAAGCGCCAAGCACCCGAGTTGGAGGGTCATGACGAGCGTGTGGAGCTGAAAGTAGAAGAGGAGGACCACGTAACAGATCTGGAGAGTGCACTGCCACATGTAACCGTTAGCGACGATGCCATCAAGGAATACGAAGCGTATAAGGCGTCACAAGAAGGCGAAACCGAGGCAGCCGACAAACGCTTGGAAAATCGCACATGGATCAGAGGCAAGAGCTCGCTCTACGTCGATGCATTCAATCTAGCACTGGATACTGTTTTGGATGAGGAAGGACACCTCTTTGACGAAGCAGAAGCAGACATCTTTCGCATATGGCGGGGCTTGAATTATGAAGCACAGTACTTGTGGGTGTCAACTGCTAACGGTCTGCGTCAGAACTAATGTTGACCATGATTTGCAGATATGTACGATTGTTCCTGCGAAAGACATCTGCCTGGCATCGAATAAAGAACCTTGGCTACCATGACGATATCTCGGATCTTGAAGCCGCGGTCGAAACGTTACAACGTACATACCAACTGCCTGCATCATCTTCCAAAGCCGAGTCACATCCGGGCGAGCTGGAAGGGCCGGTAGAGACGGTGCTGGGAACTTCCTTCACTTTTGCGGATCGATCCGAGGAAGAGATAAGCACACTTGAAGAGGCGTCGTCGCTATTAAAACTTGATGAACTCAAGGCTCTTGCAAAGGACGCCAAGGTCACAGGGAAGAACAAGAGCGAGCTTTTAAAGGCCCTGCGCCGCACAAGCCAGAAGCAAACTGGTCTAGGCTACGTTGGGCTGAAACGCTCAGATTCGGAAAGGTCTAGAGGATCATCCGTGTCTAGATCCCGTCCAGAGACTCCAGATATAGAGGTGGAGCTCGAGGGTGACCTCTCGGATGACGCCAACCGCGATACACATTTTACGCGTAGGATCATGCAGGAGACGGGATCGTGTATACGGCTTTCGCTGGCTCCCTTGAAGCTCTTCGAACGCGTCCATCTCGTCTTTTACCGTTCGACGGAATGGACAGAGAAGTCCCTTACAACCATCATTCTGGCTAAGATTGCACGCCGAAACTTTCCCGAATACATTGTCTCTCGGTCAGCAAACATCTTCGCTTCACGGTCATTACTGTTGGAATACGAGGCGTCCGTCCGCACTCAACATCGGATAGACGGCATTTTAGAGTTCAGCGGTAGACCTACAGAGAAAGGATACCAGGAAACTCTAGACACATTCGAGGAGATATACCCTCGCTGGCGGGTCCTTGTTCAGGAAGAGCAGCAAAAGGAAGATGGTATATATCACAGTGGTGAGGGCTCATACCTCCGTCGACTATCACCAGCCTGGGTATACACCCGCATCGTCCACAAAGCGCTTGATGTACTCAGGCGCCGGAAAGAACACAAACGCGAACACGAGATTGTAACCGAGTTGTTGCGCCAGCGTCTTTTCCATCACTCGCGGAGAGGTGCATGGTATCAACGGAAAGCACTGCTCGAAGAACACTACATGGCAGCGCTCACCGATGCAGAACAGAGAAGCGCGGAGAAGCAAAAGAGGCATTGGAAACTCATTGCGCTACAGACATGTGAAGATGGCCTACAGGATAACCTTGTGCATATTATCCATCATTACGATCTCCAGAAGCGCATCACCAAACTTGAAATGTCTCTCAATTTTGCCAAACGGCTACAACATGACTTTTCACATGTGCGCTTAACAAAGCCGGTTGAAGTCACCATGGAAGGAACGCGGATCGAGCGTGAGAATTCCTTGTCGTCAAAGCGCAGCAACTCTCCACATCCCGGAAGGCGTGGCGGCAAGACGGTCTGGATCGACCCCCGCGAGGACGGCGAGTGCTCAGTCGAAGCAATGTGTCTGTCGCACTACCGTAACCAAGGCTGGAAAGGTTATCACAGCGAAGGCGGCATAATAAGAACTCTCTTCGCCTACCTATTCTTCGACGTCCTCTTCACATACGTACCCAACGTATTCCAGACACCGTACCAAACTTGCCCTCTGGACCTGCACACCGATGCTTTCTACCCCTCGCGCCTCTCCGAGATCAACGCCCGGCTCAACGAGATATCCAACGGCGACGCGCCAGGCATCATCCAAAGAATATACAACGACCACCATGAGCGAAGGACTTGCGTCGTTGGGCTCGACTGGAGCTATGATGTCGCTGATCTCCTCGAGATTGCACAGTGTTTTGATGGCGAGGCGCTCGCTATGGTATGCAAAGTCATGGCACAAGAGTATGGGCAGAGAGGCGGTGGTGTCCCTGATCTCTTCCTCTGGAAAACCAGCCCGGAGGAAGGAGGCAAGGGCGAGGTCAAGTTTGCCGAAGTCAAGAGCGAGAACGACCGGTTGAGCGATACGCAAAGGCTTTGGATCCACGTGCTTTCTGGCGCGGGAGTGAGAGTCGAACTTTGCGCTGCGGTGGCTAAAGAGGTCAAGGTTGTTTAGAGCATGTTGTTATTGTCACGGCTGCTATCTTATCATTACACATATTGGTTACATCTTGATCGAGTCCTGGGAAACGGGACTTGCCAAGTTCTTTTTTAACCACAACCCAGATGCTCAGACGGCGTCTGATCAATGACAGCTACTCTGTACCTCGGCAACCCCACTCCCCAGCAGCTATCCGCCAATCACAGCCACAGCCAACGACTACATAAGACCAAGTAAACGAGTCTTACACCTTAGGAAAGCATATATGAATACAAGAAGCCAGAATACCCACCCAGTTACACCTTATTCATCACGCCGATACTCCCAAACAGTACTAAAAAAACTAAGGAAAAAATCCCCCAAAATGCCGCACCCAAACACACCCGTCATCATAGGCGTCGCCGACATCAAAAACCGCTCCACACACATCTCAGCTGCCAAGGAACCCGCCACCTTGATGCTCGAAGCAATACAAGCCGCGCTCTCAGATGCATCTGCCTCTTCCACCGCACAGCTCCAGGACGCAATCGACAGTATCGACGTCGTCAGGACGTGGACGTGGCCCTATCCAGATCTACCAGGGTTATTGGCGACCAGGCTGCAGGTCCAGGATCATGTAAGGTGGACGCGGTATTCGGAGCATGGCGGCGATAAGCCGGGGAAGTGTGTCGATGAGGCAGCGAGGAGGGTGGCAAGGCGCGAGTGTAGTGTTGCTGTTGTTACGGGGGGTGAGGCGTTGGCTTCTTGTGAGTTATCATTTTCATATTTCTATTTCTTTCTTCACTTTGACTTCCTTTCTCTATATCTGTTTATCTCTTGGTATCCCCGTTCATTTCTTTATGAAAGATGGCGAGAATACGTTTATGCGCAACGTGCTGACTTTCCATTCTACACTTTAGTATCTGCATGTGCGGCAGCTAAGAAACTGCCTCCGCCCGGCTGGACGCCTCCTGCGTCAGCCGTCGACTCTGTGTTTTCGCCTACGGGGCGCGATCTGGGAAAGAGTTTGTATTGCTCTTCATCTAGGGCATTGTTACTACTGCTAATGTTTTTGAAGATCTCGGGGCTATCCATGGAATCGGGGCCCCGATACACGTGTATCCTTTGTATGAGAATGGGTTCCGCGCGCATCGCGGCCAGACGCCCAAGGCGAACCATGAAGAGAGCGCGAGGCTGTATGCTGAGTTTGCGCGTGTCGCGGAGAAGAACGAGGTTGCGTGGAATTACGGCAAGACGACGAGTGAAGAGGAAATTGCAACGGTTGGGGGGAAGAATAGAATGATTTGTTCTCCTTGTAAGTAAAGCAGTCCATCCGTTTCTACTTTCTTTCCTCTCTTTTCCCCCGTGTCTGTATCAATACCTCTGTACGCTCAGTGTCACTTACACCTCCTACAGACCCCCTCCTCATGAACGCCTTCAACACAGTCAACCTCGCCGCCGCCATGCTCATCACATCCACCTCCCACGCCGAGCGCCTGGGCGTACCGCGCTCCAAATGGATCTACCCACTAGGCGGAGCTGGCACTGCCGACGCCGACGAATTCTGGAAACGCCCCGATTTCCACTCGTCCCCGGCCATCTCGCGCTCCATCGACGCCAGCCTGCACGCGTCCGGCACGAAAAAAGAGGAACTCGACATCTTGGACATTTACTCTTGCTTCCCCATTGTACCTAAGCTCGCTGCCCACCACCTCGGACTGCCGCTGACGGGCGCCGAAAAACCACTCACGGTTCTCGGCGGCTTGACCTCGTTTGGCGGCGCGGGCAACAATTACTCGATGCATGCGCTTACCCAAGTCACGCGGCGGCTGCGAGACAGCAGGGGCAAAAAGAAGGCAATGGTGCTGTGTAATGGCGGCGTGCTGAGTTACCAGCACGTAGTTATTCTGGGGAACGAGCCCAGACCAGACGACGAGGCCGTGTATCCTGACGAGAACCCGCTTCCAGCAAAGATTACTGATGTAGCGGTGCCGCGGGTTGCGGTTGAGCCGCAGGGCGAGGCTATCGTCGAGACGTACACGGTTGAGTTTAAGCGCGATGGCACTCCGCTGAGGGGGTATGTTGTGGGGAGATTGAAGAGTACTGACGAGCGCTTCTTGGCCAACCATGGCGATGAGGATACGCTCAGGCACATGGCAAGTGGTGTGGTGGAGGTTGTGGGGAAGAGCGGGTGGGTGTGGCCGGACGCGGAGACAAAGGGGCGATCATTATTTGCGTTTGATAAGCCTGCGAGGCTGTAAACTTCGACTTTTTTGTTTTCACTCGGTCATACAGGAAATCTGGATGGTGGTGTAGTAGAGACGGATATTTTATTTTGCAACTTTTCGTATGCCCGTGAAGGCCATAGTATTATGTAGAATGCCCGATAGGTCCAGACGAAGAGGCTGAGTTGAATGCCGTGAATGATCAAGACACCTGTGGGGGCTATCCCGACCGATCATTTTGTACAAAATTCTTCCTAGCTTGCTTCAAACTAACACCCAGGTAATTATGCGAGCAAGGCGTCACTCAGCCGTATTACCAATGGCATCGCTGACATGCGAATGAACATCTGCTACCGCTGTCTCTAAACGCTGCTTGTAATGGTCGGGCTTGCTTGCCGTTCCTGCTAGACATGAGGTATCTTCAATCTTCTGCTTGGGTAAGAAAACGACAACGGGAATGTTGAAGAGGGCTTACTGCAGAGAGCGAACGCACTGTGACAAAGATGGACACACGGTGTGAGCGTCCCGTAAGCATACGACCTGGGATTACGAGAAAGAAGACAGCTAGATGCTGGCGCTTTGTTGAGATGGTGACGCTATAGCATCTTCATCATCTTCCAAGTCCTGAGCGGATAGAGTAGGCACCGGAAGCCTGTCAAAGGCGTTTGCTGTGCCTTTGATCTGTTCGAGGACTTGGGCGGCAACTGCAATAGCATTTTCAGGAAGTCCTGCGTGTATGTTAGTGCTAGTCACGATATAAAGAGCGTTCCCACGTAGGACTCACCGGCAACTCTAGCCACTTTCAATGCGTGGCTTTGTCGATTGACACCTCTCCTCAGTCGGTGGACATAATAGAACGATCCATCAGCTTCTTCAAACACGTCATTGCAATAGCAGCTCAGCTTTTCAAGGTCTTGCGTCATATCAGTGAGCACATGGAAATGCGTTGCAAACAATGTCCGGCACTGATTGACATGGTAGAGGTGGTGGAGACAGGCATAACCCACGGCGATGCCGTCTTCCGGTGTCGTTCCTCGCCCAACTTCGTCCATGATGACAAACGATCGGGGTGTGGCTTCTTTCAGAATCTGCGCTGTTTCCAGCATCTCCACCATGAACGTCGATTGGTCTTGGTATAGGTTGTCCGCCGAACCGACACGACTGAAAATCTTATCAACCAAACCAATCTCTGCGTAATCTGCTGGCACAAAGGAACCGGTTTGCGCTAATATGGATATGAGTGCGTTTTGCCGCAAGTACGTGCTTTTTCCAGCCATGTTGGGACCGGTGATGAGCCATATACGCTCTTTGTTGCCAAGTTGACAGTCATTTGGTGCAAAGATGCGCCCTTGTTCGCTTAGCCCATGTTCGACAACAGGATGCCTACCACCAATGATGTGATGTGACGGCTCAGGACGGAGAATAGGACGATTGAAATGTTTCTCCAGAGCAAGGACGGCAAAAGCGCAGGCAACATCCAACTCGTCAAGTACTGCAGCATTGCGTCGCAGTTTCACAAGGTTTCGCACCACAGCCTCACGCAGCTCTCCAAGCACGCGTTGCTCTTCTGTCCGAATACGAAAGCGCGTCTCATCCATCTTGGCCCCCAAGTCAGTCCATTCTGGTATCTGGATAGAGCGGGTAGTTCTGCTGCTGCTCAAGGTTTTGGGGTAATATTCTGTCACTCGAGTTGCGTCTCTTCCTTTGACATGCGCAAAATGAGCCAAAACGGGGGTCCACTTCAAGACCAAGCTCTCGGTGCCCATCTTCGTACGCAAGCTATTTTCCAATTCGCTCTTGGACTGCCTCAAGGTGTCCAAGGTGTCGTGTAGCCGCTTGAGGGTAGGGCTTGCGTTGCGTTTCATGATATGGATATCCTCTCTACCGTCCGTGGCGCTCTTGAAGCTTGGTGTTATTGTATGGGGTTTGGGCTGAATGCGCTTTGGTATGCCCTTCAGATCCTCTTCACCAGCTTCTCTACCGAGTACATCCTGAGCTAGGTCTGACATTTCCTCGGCCTCGGCGCTCTCTACGCGATGATATTCAGATAGGCCTTCTTCGTCGATAGCTTTTTGTATACGTTTGGCAAGCTGGAGTGGTAGCACTAAATCGAAGCGACGCTCTAGCATCGCCATACACTGTCTGCGCCGGCTATCGGGTATACCGGTTGCAGGGTCGATAGGAGTAGCATTTCTCGAGGCCACGTGCCTTTGTATGACGTCCAAGATTGCAGAAGTTGTCAAGATCGTCTTTGAAAGCTCCATGAGGTCATCAGGGCTGCCGCGACCGTACGTGAACTTGGTCACTAGCCGAAGAGTGTCGAATGTCTGTTCCAGTAAAGCAGTAATGTCTTGACGAAGCTGTGGATACTGCATCATCTCCTCTACCAGATCTAATCTGTCATTAATGGTTGAGAGCGACATTGATGGGGCAGCTTCATTTCATTAGCAGTCTCCAGAAACGACATTATTTACGCACTTACAGAGACGCTGAGTGAGAAGTCTGGTTCCACTCTTTGTGACAGTGTTCTTGACAGTATGTAACAGGCTTCCTTCGTATACACCATCCCGAATTGTACTTCGGATTTCTAGTGCCCTCAGACTATGTTTATCGATGCTCATGTGTTCTTCAGCTTGATGCCTTACTGGGGCTCGGAGCTGCATCTGCGAACCACGTAATTGATGCTTTACATAGTGTAGCAATGAGCCACCTGCAGTCACTTCGCCAGGCGTGAATTTGGCCATGTCGAAGCCATCTACGGCATCTTCCAACATGGGCTTCCAGTCCTCCACTGTAAGCCGGTCTTCTGGAGGCTCATGGAAAGTAATGGCATACCCGTCTTCTTGCATAAGAGACACAATGTGCGAATAATCTGGCTCTTGGAAGACACTGTCCAAAACTATCTCTCTCGGCTTGATTCGAGCCACCGCTGAGGGCAGTGATGCAATATCCGTGCTCTGGGTCAGAAAATCGCCGCTGGATAAATCAAGCCATGCAAGCCCAACTTGAGTGCGTGGTAGGTTAAGAATCGAAGAAACGCTTGAACTACCAGGGATTTGGTGGGATGGTGCTTCACTCTTGAGCACCTCCGGGTCTACATGGATACTGAGGAGGTAGTTGTTCTCCCATGGGTCCATGAAATGCTCATCGATGAGGGTCCCTGGTGTCACAATGCGTGAAACCCTTCTCGTAAACTGTGAGTCACCCTTTGCTTTGGTGGGCGCATCGTTGGGAAACTCGTCACTTATCGCAACATGCCTGTTGAGGTCTTGAACAAGGATTTTGAGGTACCTGTCCAGTTGGTAAGCGGGGAAGCCAGCCTGAGGCTATTAGCGCTGTGTGTTAGTTAGGAATATTTGGCTGACTGACCATAGATACTGCAGGCTTCTTGCTGCCTTTTACAGCTCTCTTCCTGGACTTCCTGATGTTCAAGAGGGGTGCTAGCTCGTCTGCATGCTCAAAATATAGCTGTTGGTCGTTTCAGCAAGAGCTTTGTGGTCCAAATACTCTTAAAACGCACCTCGTAGAAGCCCCCGACTCGTGTGAGAAGCACACAATGGCTAAATTTGAGCATGTTGTTGCGCACCTGCTGCAATAGCGGAGGGTATTCTGGCTCGGAATCATCTTGGGGAGGCAATGCCTCGAATCCAATAGGTCCTTGGTGCAGGTCATCCAAATTGACAGTGGTTTTTCTCTTGGCGCCACGTTGTTGCGATACGTGAGGACCTGATCGACTGACATGCTGTGCTGCACGTGGTTTCGCGCAGGGCCGCGTCGAGCTGAGAAAAAGGCCCGCAGCCGTGGCGTATGGTCTGTATGGGGGAGGGAATATGCGATGACCAGGCGCTAGCTCAAGACGCGTCAGACAGCGGGCCCGCTGTAAAAGCATTTTGAGTTCAGCGCGATGTGTAGAAAACATGGGTCAAGTTGCGATGGTCAAGATGCAGGGACGCGTCTGCATGCGGCTAGCGCGGGACCTTCACGCGGGGTACTCGCATTGTCCAGCGTTCCGCCGCCGCCGCCGGTGATGATACTTTAGTGCGTGGCCCCTCCACGTCTCTCCCCTCATAGCAAAAATGGCGCCCCAATTCGAGCCCATGAAGAACAACTTGATTCTACGCACGGCGAGAGGTCAATGGCCCGCTCCGCTCTCCCAACGCGAAACGTGAATTGACATTCGGCAGGCGAAAAAGTCGAGCGCCCACCAATATGGGTGATGCGACAAGGTAGAGCTCCATGGCGCTTGAAAACTGTTCATCGCTGACAATCCACAGCCGGGCGCTATCTCCCCGAATACCACAAGGAAAAGGGAAACAACGACTTTTTTGAATGCTGTCGCAGCCCCGAAATCGCTTCCAATCTCACCCTCCAGCCCATTGATCGCTACGCGGGGCTCATCGATGCCGCCATCATCTTCTCCGACATCCTCGTCATACCCCAGGCCATGGGCATGGAGGTTATCATGGTCGACAAGAAGGGACCCCATTTCCCCGACCCACTACAAACTCCGGACGACAAGCAGTACAAGGAGGTTCTTGAGAGGAAGGTTAATGTGGCAGAGTCGCTCGACTACGTATACAAGGCCATCACCATGACCAGGCAAAAGCTGGCAGGGAGGGTACCGCTGATTGGCTTCTGCGGCGCGCCCTGGACCCTGCTCTGCTACATGGTTGAAGGGGGCGGCAGCAAGATGTTTATCCAGACCAAAACATGGATCTACAAGTACCCAGAACAGAGCAAGGCACTACTGGAGAAGATTGCAGAGCTTTGTGTCGAGTATCTCGCTCTGCAGGTACAGGCTGGAGCTCAGGTATAGCCCACGGCAGCAATTCGACCCACAATGCTAACTTATGTAGATGATCCAAGTCTTCGACTCCTGGGCTGGAGAGCTGTCGCCGTCGTGCTTTAAGACATTTGCTCTTCCGTACCTGAACCACATCGCCGACAACCTCCCCGAGCGACTCCGGTCTAAAGGCCTAGAGCCTGTCCCAATGACCGTCTTTGCCAAAGGAGCGTGGTATGCTTTGTCGGACCTTTGCGAGACAAACTACAACACGATTGGGTTGGACTGGCTACATGCACCGGCAGAGGCATACAAGGTAGCGCAGGCAAAGGGCAAGGTGCTGCAAGGCAACGCTGACCCCGGTGTCTTGTATGGCAGCAGGGAATCCATCACAAAGGCCGTGGAGGAGATGGTTGCTGGCTTCGGCGGTGGCAAGCAGGGATGGATTGCCAACCTTGGTCACGGTATGTCATACAGCACGTTTTTGCCTGTGCCAGCCGGCGCTAACGTGTCATAGGAATCACACCATTTGTCAAGCCGGACGATCTCAAGTTTTACTTTGAGGAAATCCACAGATTAACAAAGGATTAATTGACTTGCGGTGGCCAAGACTCTCTGCGGTTGGGACGTGCTTGGGCCAGAGTTCCCCAGAGCCTTCCCGACTGTTTGCACAATGCGATGAGACATTTATCACGTGGTGATAGCTCAGGCCGACCGCTCACATGAAGATGATGGCTGTTCTGCCCAGCCCGCCCTCGCATGTCTTGTGCTGCCCGACTGGCAAGACTGCATGGTTAGGAGCCCTGTCTCAGTTCCCCAGCCCAAAATAAAACTTTGTCCACTTTGACTAGCGCCTTGCATTTGCCAGTGGCAGACTTGCTGTGACATCAACGCGGCTTTTTTAGGACCAGCTCTTTTTTCTATTTTGTTCCAGCAGCCGGGCGGTTGCAGTTGCAGTTGCGCGATGTCGCAACAAGCAAGGGCAGAAAGGGTCTGGTCGCCAATCGCCGGCGATAAGAGCCCTACGGATCGACCGCCACCCGATTGGCCGGCCAGTCGGTGGTCCTAGCGTGCGTTCATCGAAGCTTCCGAAGAAACGAGCAGTGAGTACCTGTGCATTTGCGGCAGAAAAGGACTGGCGAAAGCCCGTTTCTAAATAATTTGGGTTGTTTCAGCTGTGGGCTGGCCAATTCGAGCCTTTTGGGCAGACGGAGCAGTGTTTTGAGGTAATCTTGGGCTGTCGAGGCCCCATGGAAGGCCATGGAATGGGTTGGAATCTTCTGTCGCTCGGCGCAGCCGGTGCATTCGCAACATCCCGGTTACTACTTTAAGTCCACAGGCGGCGCCATCAACATTTTGCTCTCACAACAAATATACACCCACTGCCTTGAGCCACAACCCCGCGCTCACCAGTTCCCGTTGTCTGTTCTTGTGGCGATTCTTGGTAAGTCCTTTTTGTCCCCATGCCCCCCCTGCAGCCGGCGTCACAGTTGGCGGGCCGACGTTCACAAGGCTGAACGTTTACCCTTCACACTCCGTGTACCTTGGCCCTGGAGCCTGCGTGCTGACCACATAAAGATTCCCAGCAACTTATCGACTCGCGCTCTCGATATCGCACTCGACATCTGCCATATCCCTCGCGTCCTCTCGACTTTTTCCCGACCCCACTAGCCCCTCTACACTTCGGCACAACCTGCAACAGCCACAATGGTGAAAGACACCAAGCTGTACGATACCCTGGGGGTAAGCATTGTCCGATGCAATCGTACAATGAGAGCACAACCTAACAAGTAGCAGGTGGCGCCAGACTGCTCCGAGTCACAACTGAAGTCAGCATACAAGAAGGGTGCACTCAAGTGGCATCCCGATAAGAACGCACACAACCCCGAGGCCGCAGACAAGTTCAAGGACCTCTCACACGCCTACGAAGTTCTCTCCGACCCACAAAAGCGCCAAATATACGACCAATATGGTGAAGAGGGTCTCGAGCAAGGTGGCATGGGCGGCGGAGGCGGCATGGCTGCCGAGGATCTGTTTGCGCAGTTCTTTGGCGGCGGCGGCAGCCCCTTTGGCGGCATGTTCGGCGGCGGTATGGGTGGAGGACGCGAGCAAGGCCCTAAGAAGGCACGCACAATCTCCCATGTCCACAAAGTATCACTCGAGGATGTCTACCGCGGCAAGGTCTCGAAGCTCGCTCTCCAGAAGTCGGTCATCTGCCCCAAGTGCAACGGTATCGGCGGCAAGGACGGTGCTGTAAAGAAGTGCGCTGGCTGTGACGGTCGTGGTATGAAGCACATGATGAGGCAGATGGGTCCCATGATCCAACGCTTCCAGACGGTCTGCCCAGACTGCCAGGGAGAGGGAGAAATCATCCGCGACAAGGACCGATGCAAGCAGTGCAACGGCAAGAAGACCATCATCGAGCGCAAGGTTCTCCATGTCCATGTTGATCGTGGTGTCAAGACCGGTCACAAGATCGAATTCCGAGGCGAAGGTGACCAGCTGCCGGGCGTGGAACCAGGCGACGTTGTGTTTGAGATTGAGCAGAAACCCCACCCACGCTTCCAACGCAAGGATGACGACCTTTTCTACCAGGCCGAAATTGACCTGCTGACGGCCCTTGCTGGAGGCCAGATCCACATTGAGCACCTCGATGAACGCTGGCTGACAGTCGACATCATCCCTGGCGAATGCATCAGCCCCGGTGAAGTCAAGGTGATCCGCGGCCAAGGTATGCCATCGTACCGACACCACGACTTTGGTAACCTGTACATCCAATTCGACGTCAAGTTCCCTGAGCGCCTTGGCAACGAGGAGGGCGGACCGATGAGCCCTGAGCAGATCCGCGCCCTCGAGTCGGTCCTACCGCCCCGCAAGGTCCCCGATACCCTTCCTCCACCAGACTCAATGACCGAGGACTTCACTCTCGAGGACGTCGACCAAGGAGGCGAGGGTGCCCGCGCGCGCGGTATGGGCGGCATGGAGGACGATGAAGACGAAATGCACCCAGGCGCTGAGCGCGTACAATGTGCATCGCAGTAAACGCTGCGATACAGTTATTGCCGTTGAAAGGATAGGAGTGGTATGAGTTTACGAGCACGACACTATGAAGTTCAGCAATGGTTAACCGGAAAGCATTCTGGAGGGAATGGAGCGTTCGGTCCTAGGACTGGCGTCGTAGGAGTCTTTATTATTCTTCATTTTTGTGGCCGCCGTTCGGAATGCATCAGTGGCGGTGGTGGGATGGCGGTGGTGTATCTATGGTGGGGTTGCTTTGTTTGCATAGCGCATATCAGGTGACTAGCTTTGCTGCAAACCCCACCAACCTTTTGTCATTACTGCGAAGAGAGAGAGAGGGAGGGAGAGAGATAGAGGAGGACCTTACGATACCAAAACATGGTTCTTTTTTGTGTTTTTCTCTAGGGCATTTTCTTTCTTAGTCAGGTTATTTGGGTAGACCGAGCCAGATGGAGCATTAACCATGTGGATTCTTTCTTCATCTTCTACATTTCGGGTCCGTCTTGCAATTCCATCATGTGCCTTGAGACTCGTGTTACGCAAGGGTTTTTTAAGACTTGCAACAGAAGAAAAAGCCGTTTTTTTGTCATGGAGATTTGCCACTAAACATTGATGAGAATAAGAAACTTGGTTCACTACTGGCACCCGCAACGCACGCAACATACAGCAATCCTCCTGTTCATATTAAGAATCGACACTTCCCTTTCCCTTCTCCCATGCTTCTCACACGCTTACTTGCCCCTCCCACCAAACACGCCCCAACCGGCCAGAATCTCCCTCTCGCCCCAAAACATCCACTCGCCTTCGCCATACTTTGCAAGTCCCTCTCGGCGGCCACGCTCTCCCAGCTCCCCCCATCGCATCAGTAAATTCCCATCTAGCATGCCTCTTGCGCCCGTGCCAGCATCCCACCCGCCATCCGGGGTATCGCTTGCGCGGAACGCCCTTGGGTTCAGTCCAGCCGTCGTGTCGAGCGTGTTGGCAAGGTAGGCAGCGAGGTTCGAGAGGCGCCTGTATGTGTCTTCGCTGAGTGGCGTAATGAGTGCCAGGGTGCCTGATTGTGTTGTAGAGAGAATTTGGTGGAGGGGTACGGCCTTGTTGTCGTCGTCGTCTGGCGACGAAGTATCCATTTCTGCACCATCGGCAGCGCCAGAGCCAAAATCGTTGGCAGATGGCATTTTGAGGCGCGAGTGCACGGTGTGCAGAGTCGCGGGGAAGTGTCCTGTGTGGAACGTGGATTTGTGCAGGAGTCGGGATCCGGCTTCGGATTTGGGGTCTGGTGGAATGCATTAGTAAAGGGATGGAAGGGGGGTGATAAGGAGTAAGCGTACTGTCAGGATCGAATTGGAGGACTTGCAGGTTCATGTCTGCGTCTGCGACGACAAGATGAAGCTGCTCTTCAAAGGGGAGGAAGTCGACGGCTATGGTTTCGAGACTGTGCTTTGAGCGTGCAAAGAGAGACATTCTATATGGCTCTTCCTATCCAACGGTTAGAATCACACTCAGAAAGTGTAGCAGTGCGAGAAGGCTGACGTACTGTGTATCCTGTAAACCACACGCCACGGTATGCGTCGCCCATTGCGAGCATGCCTGTTCCAGGCAGGTTCTTTATATCGCTGACATAGCACTGCATATCCATAAAGGCTACAGGAAGAAGAGTGCCATCTTCTTTAAGGCCTCGTACCATGCACTTTTGTCCTTGGGCCATGATCATGAATCCTTGGGTTCCAAGTTCTGAGATGGCGGATACAGCACCTTTGACTTCATCTTTTACAATGAGCTTGAGGCGCTTATTGGTCTCTGGCCGGTCTGGCTCGGGGACGACGGTGATGACTTCGAAGATACGGATGCAACCCTTGGTCGCAAGATCTTCGCCATGGAGAATCGCCGTACCCACTGCGACGAGATCCTTGCGCTGATGCGTGTTCTCACTCACTTCGAGGTTGAGCGTCTTGATACTAAGAACTACTTCTTGAGGATCAAGAACATGAGTGTCGATAATCGTCCAGGATTTCTCGTCTAATAGTTTAATAATGCCGCGTTCAATGGTTGGCTTGAACGTCATATCTTCCTTGGGGAGTTCGTAGTGATAGGTCTCGGTCGGATCTAGCTGGTAGTCTTCCCTTTGTCCGGTGCCAATGATGTACAAGCCTGAAGAGTGGTAGGCAAGGGCGTGCACTTCAGCATCCATAGGCATGCGTCGTGCCGCCCAGCCCAAGTGACCGTAGTGGGTCTGGGGAGGAAGTCGAGAGATGCGAAGAGTATCGGTGGAATCTAGATATGCGAAGCCACGCTGGCAGCTAGAAGTGTGAAAAGACGTTAGACTCTTTACTGGCTTGCCACTCAATCCGATTACACGCGGTGCACTTGATGACTCTTTGAAAATGAATGCTGGAGTAGTGCCTCGCTGGAAGACGGTGCTATAGCCACCAATATCACCCAGTGCTAAGAGGGTGCTTTCGAATCCGGTATCTTCTGAGCCACCGTCTTCGGTATACCGTGGTACATGCTGTTGGGACTGCTTGACCCATCGTAAGTTCTTTGTCCATAGGTCGGCAGCTGAACGTGCTGGAGTGTGGAAGGCTTTGTAGATGACGAGATTATCGCTCGATGTGCGGACCTACATCTTGTTGTTAGAGAAGTGATATGAGGGGTACTTTGATAGGGCTCACAATGAGGTGTGGTGACTTGGTCGTTGCGTCACCCAAGTCAGCAGCCAGGATCTCTGTGATGGTGGCTTTTGTGGCACTCCGCTTGGGAGCATAGTCCATGGCCAGAACAGGTGGAAGGAAACTTAGTGCTTCAGCGACATAACATGGCTTCTCCATGTCCGACACTGTGAATACACGAAGGCCTCCCTCTGGTGTCAGGAGAAAAGCAAATACCTCGGTGAAGCTGACAGACTTGAACAAACTTGCTGAAAGCCACTGAGTGCCTGACAGGCCAGTAGCTTCAACATCCTCGAGCTCTCCATCGCCAGTAGCTTTGAAGATCTTGACACTAGAGTCTTCGCGTAGGATTAGCAAGTATGGGTCTGCAAAGCTCGCATTGATAACGTTGAGCTCGTTGCCGCTTTGCTCGTCCTCCATGGGGAGGATCTGGTCCATGTTGAGTTCTGATCAATTGATCAGCTATAGCACTAGGTTTTTTGCAAGATAGCTGTAACGTACCTGAGTCATAGGTGCGGACCTCTGTGCGCATTACCTGCACAACCTTTGTGCCTGCAGCCAGTACGCCGACGAATAGTGTTGAGCCCTCTTCCCGTTCAAAGTCGCCCTTGTCGGTTTCAGTGAGCTTGTTGCCATTGACCTCATATACTACAGTGCTTTCTGTGCCATCCTCACCAATCTTCGATACCACCAGATACTGGTCGTAGTCTACATCAGTGGCCATGTTGGCCTCCATGTCTTCACCAAAGGCAGCAGTGACTTCACCGGGTGCCTGTTTTCGGGCATGTACAGCCCATGTACCAAGTGCAGACGGCAGCTCTTTTGTAGCTACGCTAATCGGATGGAGTTCACGATCCAGGGCTGTTATGGCTCCAGCGGCTCCTCGTCCAGTCGATAGCATAATCTCGCCCTTGTTCAGGGATTCAGTCTCTTTTCCTGGGTGTAGGACAGCGTCCCTAATTGGCGCTATGCTCGGCAAGACATCATGTATTCGGAAGGTGTAGGCACCTGGCGCGGTAGGCTCTGACGCAGCAGCAGTAATCTTCTGAACAGCTGGTGCGGTGTCATTGTACAAGTCATCTTCCATGTCTTCCATGTCCTCTTCCTCAGACATGTCCTCATCACTGTCGACATTTGCGTTGGACTGTTTTCTTCGTACATGGCTGGAGGTGCTGTTCCAGCCCAGCATGACCGACTCTCCGTCTTCGCTTCCGATAAAAAGGCGTCCTCGTCCGAGATTGCTTGTGCAGGAGGCGGCGGCTTTGAGGAGGTGACCGCCATGATCTGCCGCAACGGTTTGAACAGTCATGCCCGACACAGTTCGGCCGTCGAGCGTGAAAGTTAGAACAAGCAGCCGTCCGTCATTGAGCACAATCAGCACGTCACCCGCCTCGTGAGATAGAAGCTCGATACTGCAGCCCTCGAGGCGCAAAGCCAGGTCTGACTGGTCGCTGAGTGGGAAAGCCGTGCCAGCTTTGGCGAACTCATTGACCGCCACGCCATTCGTCTTGCCTCCCTGGTCGACATGTATAATCTCGTTGGCTCCCACTAACAGCGCACCTCCTATGGGCGAGGGCAAGGGCACCACTCGCGTGATATCGTATGGTAGTCCAGAGACTGACAAAAGCGTGGTGGAGGCTTTCTGCTCAAGATCAAGCGTAAAGACAGAGTATGTGAGGATGTCTTTCCGGTGAGCGAGCAGCGACGGGGCGGTGTCGCGCGAAGCGGCGACGATGCCAAATGTGGGTTCGCGGTATTCGTGCAAGAAGGCGAGGTGGACTGGGTGTGTGAGGGTGGGGTCGAGGTTTGTGAGCGGTAGTACGAAGGAAGAGGAATAGGGAGTCGTGCGCTCGGCGGAGGCCTCGGTAGCATTTGGGTGCTCGGGTTTGGTCTCTTTGGGAGCCTCTGCATCCGAGTCGTAGTCATCCTCGACAAGATCACGCTGGCGAAAGGGAAGAATGGCGAGGTTGTGGGTGCCAAACTTGAGGGCGGCACACCTGCTGCTGGGGTCTGCCGTCAAGAAATTGTATGTGTCTTTGAGATCAGCGGACCAAGGAGCAATGCCGGGCAAGTCTGGGTTCTCATAGTAGTGTATTGATATTGTATGGAGGTTGTACGACTCGGGATCCCACTCCACCAGACTCAGCTTTGCATCCCGAAACGCCACCAGCAGCGCCTCGCCCTTTGACTTGGTGTTGAGCGCCTTTACGCGCGCCAGCGACACGACTGTGCCCGCGAGGGGGAACTCGCCGACCAGGACCAGCTTGGCGGTGCTCTCAGTGCGCTGCAGCGGCACGTCGGCCGCCTCCGTGTCCAGATTGGCGGCTGCATTGGCCGACTCGTTTCCCCCGCCCGGCGTGACTTCGGTGGTCGTCGACTTGAGCTCGAAGATCTGGAGCAGCGAGTTCTTTGCGACGACCAGGTTGTGTGCCCTTGCGTGCAGCAGCGGGAGGTGGATGGCATGGCTGACGGCCGTCGGCGGGGCGATTTCAGTGTAGCACTGCATGGTGGTGATGGAGCGCGCGTGCAGCTCGTCGCATGGCCGAGTGGCGGGGCGGAGGCGAGGCTGGGGTTTGAGCAATGCCCGCGGTGGTCTTGTCTGGCGGCGGCGGTGATGGTGGTGGTGGTGGTGTTGAGGCGCGTCAAAGAGAAGCTGCATGCATGCGCCAATCCTCGGCTAGCGCGTCGCGTGCAGGGATTACCCCCGCCTCCAGCATGACGGAACGTCATCCTGCTGCAAGCTGGGGGAGCAGTAGCGGGCCTACAAACAGGCTGCTCTCTCGACTCTCGACTCTCCCCCACTCGACCCATTGCACATCTCGATACGCAGAGCGCGAGATTGTGCCAGAGAGGCCGACCAATTCACCGCTGCAGACAGCAACGACACCGCCGCCATGGCCCTCATCCAAACCAGCCTCATCTGGGTCGCTTACGCCGTCGCCGTCGCCCTCCTCTTCCTCATCGCGTCCACCTTCGTCTACGTCTACCAGAAGCCGCGCGATCGCGCTGCTGCCGTCACCATTGTCTGCATATTCACCACCCTTGCGCTACTGGCGACGGTCCTGCTGATCCCCGTCGACGTCGCCCTCGTCTCATCCACGTCCAGATCCAGCCTCGGTCGCAAGAAGGACTGGGCCACGCCGGACAAGGTCGACAGCATCGTATACACGCTGCGCATCGTCTACTACACGCTGTACTCGCTCGATGCAGTCCTCTGTCTGCTCGTCATCCCCTTTACCTACTTCTGGTACGAGGAATACGACGAGGATGCCGCCGAGCACGGAGAGCAGACGGCGGGACAGCGCATTGGCGGCGCCCTCAAGTGGACGATTGGCTTCCTCGTCTTTGTCGTGGCCATCTTCCTTGTCGGCTTCTTCGTGCCCTTTGCAAAGCAGGCCAAGGACGACAAGCGCCTCGACCTCGACTACTTCAAGCACCTGCTGTCGGAGAATCGTAAGCATGCCCCACCCAGACTGTGACACGAACACCAGCTAACCACCTGCAGATGGCGAGCGCGCTCTGTCCTTTGCGCTCGGATTGCTCATCACCGTGGGAACTGTCCTGTACGTTCTCTACACTGGCGCCGGCCTGGCGCTTCTGCCTGTTGCCATGATCAAGTCGGCGCCTTCCATCTCAGCGCCTACCCTCGCTGCGAACACTGCCTCTCAGCTGGAGACCAACCGCGAGCGCCAGAGGCAGCTCGAGGGCCGCAACCAAGGTCGCGACGGCGGATTGGACAGCAGGGACAGGCGAGAACTAGAGGCTCTTGTTCGCGAGGAGCGCACTCTCATCCGCCGCGAACGCCTTGCTGCCGAGTCGAGCGGCGAGGACCGCCATTGGATTGTCAAGGCCTGGATCAGGACCGAGGCGTTCTTCCGCCCGCTCAAGCTCCTCGGAGGGCTCATCCTCCTCGCCTTCGCCCTTGTCATCTTCGCTAGTATGCTCATCACTGGCATTGACAAGGCCAAGAACTCCATCTGCGGCTCTCACTGCGGATACATTCTTGGACACATCAACATCTTCCAGCCTCTCAACTGGATCCTCGTCAAGTCTTCCAAAGTCTTCCCTGTCGACTATGTCTTATTTCTGCTGCTCGTTCTCTTCTTCTTTTCTGCGTCTGTTGTTGGCATCGCCACGGTCGGTATCCGCTTCTTGTGGATTACCATCTTCAAGATCCGCAAGGGCCACACTTCGCCTCAAGCGCTCCTCATGGCTACTGTTCTCCTCACGCTCATTGTCCTCGCCATCAACTACTCGGTTGCCATGGTTGTTGCACCTCAGTACGCTACCTGGGGTCCGCAAACCTACTGTGACATGAAGACCAACAGTCGTGACGAGCAACCCGACTGCAGCGAGCACAAGAACCTCATCAAGCCCTGCAGCGAACTTGCCACCAACCCCTCCGCGCAGCAGGTCTGCACACCCTCTGTCCTCAGTACCTTCATCAACCGCGTCACCATCAACTTCCCCTTCTTCGGCGTGGTTCTCTTTTGGGCTCAATTCGCCTTTTTGGGCGTCTACCTCGTTGTCTTCATCACCACGCTCTTCAGAGCGCCCACCCTTGACCAGGAACAAATGGATCGCGATCTCGAGGAGGAAGAGGAGGAGGGTCTACTTGCAAGCACCGGACGCAGATTCAACGCTGCATGGAGTGATGCCACTGGTCGCGCCACCAAGCCTACCACTGGATATGGTGCCACCAACTCAAGGAATGAGGAAAATCACTAGTTTTCAAGTCGTCTTGCCAATTCATGGAAATAAGGTTCAAAATTGTTCAGTGAGCTAGAGTACAACTCTGGGGCGAGCGTATACACCGGCTTGTTTTGTTCTTTATGTTTTTCATCAGTGTGTTTTTAGCTATGCTTTTTCTTATAAAGCCTTTGTTTTAGTAGTTGTGCGTGTATGCAAAGAATCGATTTCTTTTTCAAGGAACAAGAAGCTAGTCGTCGATGTCATGAACATTTGTTCCCACACGTTTGATGACCAACTCATTCGCGCAAGCAATATGGCTGGAATATCTGAAGAGGGTAGAATGAAGAACCACCGCACATATGCAAACATGGTTTGGCCAACTAAAGGGAAGATTACCAGTCTTCCCCTTACAGTATCATAGAAACTCCATATCCCACGCAATGCACTTGACCAGGGTGAAGGCGGTGCAGTAACTGCCAATTTGAGGTTTACACTTTGGTGCTATTTTGGTACCTATGCGCATAATTCACAGGGCCCTGGGTGTAAGGTGAGAGATGAAAGAGAAGAAAGGAGAGCGGAGTACACGCATGCCATGATGACGTAATAGTCGTGAGCCATGGTCTTGCTGATTCCGACTCTTGTCCTTAATATCCAACTCTATATCCAGGGCTATAATACCGGGGCCCGCAACATCGACAGCAGCCACCACTTCAACTTTTTAGCCATTATACGAGACCGGGACGACAGTATATTGCGCGGAATGCCGTTGCGGAAGCCGTTGCGGAAGCTGTTGCGGAAGCCGTTGCGAAAGCTGTAGCGAAAGCTGTAGTGAAGGCTGTGGCGAAAGTCGTGGCGTCGAAGCCTTCTTACCCTCTCGTGACCCCGGACTATAATGCCCCTATGATGCACGCAGAGGCCCAACAACGGCGGTATTTAACCATGTCGAATGCGTACAGTAAACGCTCGAAACAAGCACCAAACAAATAGGTGCGTGCCAATGTTCAACGCCAAGCAGCACCATGGCCAGGCTGTATTTCGCACATTCCAATTCAATCCATTCCGTCCACCCTGTTATCTTGTCCAAGCTCTTCGTCCAAGATTCTCACATTGCTCTCCGCGCCGAACCGATGCATCTTCTTGGGTGCCACGAGTGGCAGTGCCCGAATCTTCGGCGCCTCGTTTCCGGGGCTGCAACCTACCAAATCGCAGGCTCCGAGCCGGCTAGACTTGGCGCATAACAGACACTTCAGTCGCCTTTTCCTGTCGCGTCCACTATTGGCGTACTTATCGCACTGGCCAAGACAATATCGCAAGTCGGCCTGGCATGTCCGCGTGTTTCTACCTTGGCAAAGGCTGCCCAGCTAGGACCTAGATGAACACCTTCTGAAATGGGTTAGTATACCGCCAGTCTTGACCTTCCGCAAGGAGCATGGATGCCAAATGATGTCCAGACCATACACAGGTACCAAGACAGCATCGTAGAATGCAGTGGTAATTTGGTGATGCCGGGAGCGAAAACAGGGAGCGCGCCCCGTGGACAAGACTCCTGTATATATACCCATGAAGCTCTACCGAAACTTGCTCATTCCAGCTCAATCAGCCTCTCCATATCAGCCAATATGAGGTTCTCACTCGCTACGCTTGCTCTTCCTGTTGCGGTCCAGGCCGCCCATTTCTCCAAATCCGAGTATGCGTCTGGAGCAGTTCATCAAAAGCTGATGAAGCTGAAGGCGGTATGTTGAACCCGTCGTCGCTGTTATCTCCGTCGCTAACATGTAAAAGGACCAATGGGAAAACGATGCAGCTCAGGGTAAACAGGATCCTCTTCAGTGGAAGTCATGGAAGGCCATGAAGGGTGCCAATGCCACAAGTGTGCCTTGCAAGGACGGCCTTGCTGTAGTTGAAGCAGGCAATGCAAACCAGACCTTTCGCTGTAAAAATGTCAGTATATCTAATCTGCAGCAAATGGCGACGATGCTTACAAGCAATAGATGGACTTTTACGACTTCCTCAGCCATGCCGACATGGGTGGCCCTGAAGGTCGGGGAAGCTCTTCTTGGGGCTGGAGGGCTGCAAACGGCCGCGAGTTTGCCATTGTGGGCCAGTTCTCCGGTGCTGCATTCGTCGAGATCCTCAAGGATGGCCAGATGCAGTACGTGGGCCGTCTTCCAGCGCAGAGCGAGGGTGCGCGATGGCGCGAGATTCGAGTCCTCAATGACTATGTCATTATCGGCAGTGAGGCTGTCGGTCACAACGTTCAGAGTCAGTACTACGCTTGCCATATCGAGCATGACCCAAATTACTAACACCTTCGGTAGTCTTTGACATGAAGAAGCTATTGGACGTTGATCCTGCCACGCCCAAGACATTCGACCCCAAAACTGACCTGGTTGGATTGTTCAGCGACCTGCCCATTGGCCGCACTCACAACGTAGTTGTCGACTGGGACAACGAATACATTCTGGCTGTTGGCGCCCAGCCCCGCAACCAGACATGCAAGGCCGGTCTTCAGTACATTGACCTCTCCAACCCTAGCAAGCCCAGCTCTCCAGGATGTTCTAGCCAGGACGGCTACGTTCATGACGCTCAGTGCGTCACTTACAATGGACCCGACCGCAGATACCGTGGCCGCAACATTTGCATTGGCTACAACGAGGACACGATGACTGTATACGATTCAACAAGCAAGGATGGCAATCCTGCCTCTGAAATCTTATCCACCCTCTCGTACCCGGGAGCGACATACTGCCACCAGGGCTGGTGGACCGAGAGCAACTGGCATCAGTACGTGCTGCTGAACGATGAGCTCGATGAAGTGGAGAAGGTTGGACCGGGTGCTTCGGGTCGCCCAGTTACCCACATTGTTGACCTTACGGATCTGCGCAACCCAAAGGCCACGGGAACATTTTTTGCCACGGACCAGAAGGCAATTGACCACAACCTGTACATTGTGGACGGTCTGGCTTACCAGAGCAACTATGGCGCTGGTATCTGGGTTCATGATGTCAGCTCCATCAGCAAGGACTCGACGGGCAAGGATGTCACTGTCGAGGGCTTTTTCGACATCTATCCCGAGGATGACGCTCAGGGTGGCGTGGTCGAGTTTGTGGGCACATGGTCGCACTTTCTGTTCCCATCAGGATACATCCTCGTCAGTAAGTTTATGCAATCCAAACCAGTAAGACTCGGCGCTAATTTCTTGTTTCAGACACGATTGAGCGCGGTGCATTCACCGTCAAGCTTGCAAGCGGACGTGGAGCTCAGCCTGGGCCTGGCCACGGCGGAAAGTCGACAGGAAGAGGCCGGGCGCGTTTTTAATCAATGCCATGGCATGAAAAGTATTGGCTCTCCATGTGAGAGAGATGGAGAGAGAACAAAAAAATTAATGATAATGCTGCCTCTTCACAAACCATGTTTTGCGCAATAAAGGATGCCATTGGATCGCAATACGTGCCCTGATTTTTGTCAAGCACCAGGTTCCAAGCGCTACGCCGGATAGGGTAAAGCGCCATATCTGCGTTACACGTCGACGGCTGTCATCTCACGTTATCATGTCACTTTGTCTCTCCATTCATTGCGCTTCATGTCACGGTCACGCGCGCTGATTCAGAGAGAGAGAGAGACAGATAGACAGACAGACAGACAGAGTTTCCCTAATGACAGGCAAGCAAAACCCCTGGTGACGCTGGGTGTTGTGCTTGGCGCAGCAAATGGGGGTCTCATTGGTGTCCTTGCCCCTTGTTCGCAATCTAGTGGAAATCGAACCACAGGCTGACACGGCCTTGTGCGGATAAGAGAGAGAGAGAGAGAGAGAGAGAGAGCGTGGGGTTCATAAACGCAAGGGGTACTGACTAGCCGTGCATGTGTGCGTGTGCGTATGCGTGTGCGTGTGCGTATGCGTGTGCGTGTGCGTATGCGTGTGCGTGTGCGTGTGCGTGTGCGCGTGTGTGCCGGGGATCGTCACAGCGATTGCCGCAGTCCCCCAGCCTTGAACGCGGGGGGAGCAACTGCTGTTATTAGTGAATGCCGGCATACACTGTATACAAGTAGTACATGCATGCTCGCTGGGAGTCGGGGGACGAAGGAAGCGCGTCTTCCAGCACAGCTATCGCCGATGAAAGAGGAAAAAAAAATATCCGGACTTGGCCGACTATACGTATGTGTGTATGTACAACCAGCTGGCCATGGGTGGCTGGCTGGCTGGCTTTTGCTTGCTGCGAGGTTATCGCAGGGGTGGCTCCAGCTCCCCCATCTCTCTACTTACCCCTACCACATATGTAAGTATATACGTCGCACCAAGCAAGGATAGTATAAGCAACAAGGGAGAAGCAGAAGGGTATCCAAGGTGCCAAAGCATCCGATTGGGAGCGGGGAAGACAGAGAAAGAGTCCTCGCGCGCAACACCCCCAACCCCATGCTGCAGGTCCCCCCCCCTTCTCTCCGAGGAAACAAGTGTAGGGGTATTTTTTTGCTTACTAGTCGCCGCGCGCGGATGTGCATGGATTGAAGTTGGAGTTTGGAGTCGGAGTTGGAGTTTGGAGCCTTGTACATACTGTGGGATGCTTGTGTCAGCTTTTTCTCTTCCTTTACTTAGTTAGTTACGACAGGCTGCGGGTGGGTAGGGGGGGTGCAAATAATCCGAATATACCCCCCCATGCCCCCATGTCCTTGTATGTAGTACATCCGCCTTGCACCGGACCGGACGTTGGACTCACCCCACGCATGTATGTCGCATGTATGGATGCTGAGTCGGACTCCGAGCCGGCGACTGACTTGGGCGCGTACGAGTACGAGTAATCCCCCCCCACCGAGCATAACACGACATATGTATGTATGTACGGTGATACTACATGCCAAGCATTTGCTGCTAGAGTTACATTGACAATCCATGGGTAAAACACATGATACATACAACACGTATACTCTGGCCTTGACACAATCTCACTCATTCTCACTCACTCACTCACTCACTCACTCACTCACTTGGCCACTCACCGATTTTCTGACGAAAGAGCCTGCGGTGAGGTGAGGTGAGGTGAGGTGGTCCAATGAGGAGAGATGCGAGTACGCGTCACGGCCATGTCCAAGAAGTTTTTTTTTGACTTGCCTTTTGCTGCACCATTGATTCGTTCGCGGGCATGTCGATTCGGTCCAGGACCATTTCCAAGAATTTTTTTGCCTTTGTCGCAGCGCAAGCCTGATTCGTTTTACAGCCACCATATGCACGGTTAACAAACAAACAGCCAGCTACGTAGCTATTGCCAAGACTTGGACATGTGGATTGATATTCGTATTTTCTTCATTGCAAATACATGGTCGTATTTTAATGACTACTCGTTGGTTGGAATGATAAAAAGTACTGCGCTAACGACAGATATCCGCCCGCTCACTGCTATGCAACATGGTAAAAAAAAAGGGAAAAAAAACGTATTGGCTCAGAAGCGATAAAGGCTTTTGGTGTGTGAGCCGTGCTTGCTTTCTCAGCAGAACCCTTTTGATCGGATAACGCGCTTGCCAATCAAGATTGACTGTATCGGAAAGATAGAGAAAAAGGGGAAAAAAGAAAAAAAAAAGGAAGAAAAACGCCATCTGAAGCATGCAGCCTGCATCCAAACGCCAGGTTCAGTGCAGAGACATGTCTTGGAAACGAGACGCAGCTTGACCCGGCAAGTTTGAGTCAAGTGATTTTGGTGACTGAGTCGAGAGTCTTACAGAGAGTTTTCGACCTGGACGAGTTCTTCAAAGGCATCTCGCCACTTGCGGGATTCTTCCTTGGAAGGCCTGGGGAGAGGCTTGCGGGCATAGCCTCCGTAGCCGTAGTGTGCCATGAGGGCGGCTTTGGTGCCAATGATGCCTCCTTGGATGGCTGCCCAGTCGCCTCTGGCAACCACAGCCTGGAGCTTGCGGGCCTCTGCGAGTTTGCCCGCCTCGAATAGCTCAATCAGCTTGACGCACGCCTTGGGGGCGATGTTGGCCATGCCGCCGATAATGCCCGAGCCGCCGCCGATTAGGGTTTGGAGAGTAAAGTCGACTGAGCCGCCCATGCACATGAAGCCCGACCCTGGATCCGAGACGGTAGCTGCGCGGGTTGCTGATGCGATACGGTTCAACTTTCCGGTGTTGCCGCACGTCAGCTTACAGCCGACAATGTTTGGATGTTGAGCCAGGTCAATGATGACATCTGAGTTGAGGTCGAGTCCCGAAACGGCGCCGGGGTAGTTGTAGATGAGGATGGGAATGGGCGAGGCAGTGGCTACGTCGCGGAAAAACTCCTTGACTGTGTCTTTGGAGAACAAGCCCTGGTAGTATGCTGGAGGAAGGACCAAAGCGTAGTCTCCGCCGGCGGAGGCAGCCTCTTCGCAGAGCTCTATGCATTCCCGGGTAGACTGGGCGCCGCATCCGACAATGACTGGCATGTAGCCAAAGCCAGCTTCGTCAAGAGCCTTGCGGGTGGTGCTGGTAATGAGATCGCGCTCCTTGTGCGAGAGATGAACGGCTTCGCCATTGGACCCTTGAGTGGTAATGCCAGCAACACCAGCCTTTGCCAGACGGACTGCGTGGCTGGCTACCGTCTCGACGTCTACGTTTTCCGAATTGGGCTCGAAAAAGGCTACGGTAGGGACATAGATGCCCGGGACCAGCGACCGCCGGATGCCAACATCGTTGGAAGTCATGGAGCTGGCGTCAAAGTCGGTGTAGCGGTTGTCGGTGTAGACGGCTTGGACAGGATGATGGAAGCCCGAGTCTTGAGTGAAGCTGTTGGCAGGAGAAGGTGCGTCGTGATGTGGTGACATGACGGAGGGGTTTTTTTTCCTCGGGGGGTGGAGGTGTTATTAAGGGTTTTTATACCGACAGAAGCTTGCAGACAGAAGCGGAACTTTTTTTTTTGCTTGACAAACAAGTAGCGGTACGATGGGAGGGAAGAAAAAAACGGGACGAATACGTCAATGGTGGATTGATGTTTGGTAAGGCCCCAGGATGGCGCAGCTTCTTAAATGCTCCAAAGGGCGGAGCAGGCGTGGCAGGTTTGACAGAGGCATGATGAGCGTGGGGGTCCAGCTGACGGGTGCCATGGGGAGTGGTAGCAGTACAGACCAAAGGGGCGGTGACTCCCGCAGGTTGTTGGAGGCGCAGCTCTGCAGGCAGCCGATGCCAGGCACAGCTGTTTGGGGCTAGCGATTGAAGCGGCGTTTGTTTTTTTCGCTCACGCTGCAGGCGGTGGACAGGGGGTCGGGGGGAGAGAGGCTGTGAACATGGGATCGTTGGCCGGAAGGCAAGGGGCCATGGCTTGTGACGATCTCTGGAGATTCGTGGCGCTGCGCTGATAGGGCGAGGGGGGGGGGCACCATGCGAAGGGTTGGCGGAATCAAAGGCTGGTGGGAAGGGTTGCTGGATACCGTTCGGGGGGTGAGTTAGTGTGGGGGTGGGGAATGGTGGCAGGCGTCCGGCGTGGATGGGGCACCATCATCTGATTCGGCTCGGCGACGACGGGGGGAGGGGGGACGTGCAGGGCCGCTATGCAAAGGGTAACAGAAACGAAGGATTTCCAGCAATGATGCAAGACGTGGCAAGCAACGTGTAGCAGCAGAATTGGCGTCACAAGACCGTATGCGGCATCAGCGCGGCAGGCGAGCAAGGCCACATGCGGGCGAGGCTATGTGTATGTGTGCGTGCGTGTGTGCGTGCTAGTGATTGCGGCGGGCGTCGGAAGGGGTCCAAGAATAATCCGAGTATCAAAGAGCGAGGGCGTCAGCGTGAGGGCGAGGGCGAGGGCGAGGGAGTGAGAATGAGGCCGATGAGGGTGACATTGTGCCCCCACGCGCATTACTCTTGTGGTGGTGGCGTGTGGCCCAAGCGCGGCCCCCGCGCTGTCTGGCTCTGGCTCTGGCGCTGGCTCTGAGGCTCTTTTACGGGTCCCTAAGCACAAGTGCAAGGGCGCAGATGCAACGACAGAATTCGACGCTGGATACGGGCGCAATACGATTGGATGGACGCGTGTATCTCTAGGGCGCGAGGGGGAGAGGCGTGCAGCGTGTGCCCCCCTCCCCCCCGACGCCAATGGTGGAAGAGGACGACTGTGAATGGGCGGGCAAGAAGCCGAGCAGTGCCTTCGGCATTTGCGGCGGTGGACGAAAAAACATGCACAAAACAGCCATGGTGGATTGGTATAGTATAGTATAGGAATATGCTGCCAAGTGGAGGCGGCTTTCTTTTTTGGCGCTCGCCGCAAACGTGACCCACAGGCGTCGTGGTGGTACCTGATGGTCGGTGGACCGGTGCCGGTGTATTATTGATGCTGGCACTGGCACTGGCACCCCACGCGATACCTGCCCCATCGTGTCCGGCTTGTTCCGCTGTTTTGCTCTACCACTACGGCTGCTCTAGACAGTCGCACCCGGGGCAAGGCAGTCGATGCCGCGCACGTCCAGTGTCAAGCTGGCAGTATACAGTACACCTGTCTGTACATGGTGGCCTGAGGCGAGTGGCCTGGTGTCTTTACCCGCCGCGTGCCCTCGACGCAGACTGACTGCACGGCGCATGCTAGTTCTCACGTAGCGCGCCATACGTGGGCGTGTCACAGCCTCGCTCGGAGCATGAGCTGGGCCCGGGCCTGGATGGACATGTGTACATGTCGTGTAGATGAATCGAGGCCGAGGCGTGCTGTAGCAGGTTAAGAGAAGCGGGTGGCAGTGGGAGAGAAAAAAAACGAAGAACTGAGGCTCTTTGGGGGGTTGGGGTGGCAAACAAGCTATGCCAACAATTGCCGTTGAGCCGTTGGTCGTGTCTTGTGTGGGAGGGATGGTGGCTCTGGCTGGCAAGGGAGTCCCCCCCACGCACGGCAATGACACAGGATCGACGAACACCCTGACGCGGTGAAGCCAACGTCGCGGCAAGTGCAAGCACACGCAGCGAGCGTGGGCAGTGTGGTTGGGTTGCTGGTGAATAGCCTCGGCTAAGTCGAGGTCATGGCAATTGCACCTCGGGACATGTCTGTGGGCAGTGGGCGTTGTGGGAATTCCTGTGTGTGTGTGTGTGTGTGTGTGGAGGGTGTGCGTGTGCGTGTTCCAGCTGGGGGCGGCGTGGTAAGACTTGGCCATGTCATGATGACGAGGGGCAGGATTATCTTTCCTATTCGGAAGGCGAGTGGTGAGTAGACGGATGCGGACAGTGCGGGCTGCATCAGGCCACATCATGGTTTGGTCGTCCTTTTTTTTTCCATTGCCATGTGAAGCGGTGACGGCGGTGGTCGTGGTGGTGGTAAGGGAGACGGTCTGGCTTCGAGGCCATGCATGTGCCCCGCATGATCTGAGATGATCCCTTGGGCAGGCTCGTGCTCTTGCTCGCAGTCGCCCCCCATTGGCGCTATTTCCGGCAGCGCCATAGACGCCGCTGGATGTGCATGTGCATGTGGATGGGCGTGGGCGGGAGTGGGCGGGAGTGGATGCGATGTGGATGGAATGTGGATGGGCATGTCAATGTCGCACTTGCACTTGGCCTTTCCAAGGGGTTCCTTGCCGCCTTGCCATTCCCTCTTGGTGTCTCCAGTGGTTCGCCAACAGGCAAAAGCAAGAGCAAGAGCAAGAGCTGACGGGCCCATGTCGCAAGCGAGGCATGACCAGCGGGCGTGCGGTGGACGGGGCGGATGGCTTAAGCCCGCACAATGCTTGCACTTGGACTTGGGCAGCATTGTCAGGGCCTCAATGCATGGAGCGGCAGTGTTCCAACGCGGTAAGAAGGCGGGGAACAGCGCTCGCCCTTGGCCTCGCCGATCGCCAAATTGTGGGGTAATAGCGTCGTCGGTGTTTGCTGGCCTTGGCGCCTCCCAAGTGGGCCGCCTGCCGTGCTGTTTGCCGTGTGTCGCGCGCGTAGCTACTAGGAATAGATGCCAGCGTGGTGTGCCAAGCCATGCCCACACGCTGCCCTCTCCACCTCCCATCTTGCCGTTACACTCTTCCCGTCCTCTTTGTTTTTATGCTTTTGCCTCTCTCAACAATTTCAAACGGCAACCCACCGGCATTCGAGCCATACCCCCAACCCGAGTCGTCTTCTCCACGTCCCAAGCTTCACACCACCACTGCCGTCACGTGCCTGGGCGGGTCGCCTTCCACATGACCAAGTTGAAGTGCTCATACACTCCGACCAGCCAGAATAGAAGAGAGGGAAAGAATTGCTCCTGCGACATGTTCATTGCACACTTGCACTGCTTACGTCTACTCCTCACGCTGAGCAACCCCCCTTTCGCACACTTGCAATCATGCTCGAATCGTGTGCCGAGCATGGGTTCACCGGGCTCTATGCTAAAGTTTACCGGTACAGCTAAACTTGACGGCACAGCTACCACTACCACGAACCCCCCCCCCCGCTGCGCAGCCAGGACACCAACATCAAGCGCCGTTTTCTCCCGTGTTTACAACCGAGGCTTGCTACCCTGTGACGACATGCATACCAACAATGCTACACTGTTCGACGAACCCCTCTCCACCACGACATTACTCTTCGTTGCAATCGCCGCACGCCTGAAAACCCTCATCGGTGGCGCCTCTGATGCCTAGACTTGGCCTTTGGATCGTATATGCAAGCGAGAAACGGCAAGGGTCTACATTGGGCCAAACGGCCACTCCACAAGCACATGAAAATTCAGATGCCATGTCGATCCTACCTCTTGCTGAGAGGCGCTTTTGCACACGGCACAGATCTACATTACCGTAGAGGGAAAAAATCGTGGCAACCTGAACCATGGCCCCATGGCCTCAATCCCAAGGCCTATCCCTAGCTTACCGCGTCAGCAGCTTTCGCGTATACCCAAGCCCTCTGCAGAATGCGCCAAGTACAGCACGCCCGCATCCCGGATACTCAACACATTGTATACTCTGACCCCGTTATGGAGAATAAGCTGCAGCCACCGACTTGTTTCTCAATTCTCGGCCTCCCACCCAACAATATTGCCCACCTCGACGTTGACGTCAGGAGATGGCGCCAGTGGCTGGCTGACCGTTTGATGAAAACCAGGCAGTTGAAGCCAACAAACACCATAGTAAACAGGCACTTTGTTCTGCCTCAACATGCTCAGCCGCTCGTCACGCCAGCTTACATGCCAAGCAAATCCAGATGAAAATCCAGATGAAAATCTACTCAAGCGATCCGCCCCATTCCACCTTCTCAACACCATATCGCTTCCCCCCCTCCCCTCCCCCTCTGATCCAGCAATCCAGCCGCACGCCGCCTCAACCCCCCGGTATATCTAGCCATTTGTTTTCAGAGTCGGTCCGAGTACTGCAGATCTTCCACCAATCCGCACTACTCCAATACAAGTCTATCGGCTGCATTGCCCGACTGATGTTCGGCAACCCGCTCGCTTGTCGTAAAATCCTTTACCCAACAACTCTGTAGTCTTTACGCAAATCGTGGGGTAGCACACCTTCAAATCCCGCATGCACGCTTCTCTTGTACCGATTCGCTATCGTAGCATCCTCCACTTGCCCATGTAAGCCGATCAGTGTTCCTGCGGTGCTCTAGGCGCTGAGAGACTTGGTGTGCCGGGGTTTTTCCAGGCATCCTCGCACGTCGTGTTTAGCATGTGTTTCTCCGATGTTTTCCGCTTGTTGAAAATATAGACACACATGTCAGATATTCCCCACTTTGCGCCCTTTGCCCCTTCAAATTCCCGGCTTGGCTTCCGCCATCCCATACATACATGGCTGCATGCAGACATCATTGCTTGTATGTAATATGTCTCATGAGAGCATGTCGCGTATATGCGATGATTATGAAAAATAAAAGCCGCAAGTGTACTATCATTTATTGTTTAGAAAAAAAACAAGCACAGTATGCAATCCAAGTGCATACAACATAACGTTGATAGTTTAGACTAGAGTACATACACCAAAGTGAAATACCATGGTATTCTTGCCCCTCCTCTTTTCTCATCGACTCGACTTGATAATTCGACTCAACTCGACTAGTTAAGCGGAGCTAAGCGGAGCAAAGACTACGTACTTATGTACTTACGTACACTCTAGACATGTCTTCTCCCACAGAAAAAAAAATAAAATGGCTCATGTAGTAAGCTTACACGATTCTGCATGTCTATATCGCTCTTCGGCAGAAATAATAGGTGGGGTAGAAGAAGAAGTGGGAAAGGAAGAGTGGAAGAAGGAATCGAGGGAGAGGAGGAGAGGAGATGCAAGATTTTTTTCTTCTTCTTACAAGCGAGAAAATAGGAAGAAAAGAAGTAAAAAAAAAGGAAAAAGTGAGAACGGGAAGAAGGGAAGAGGGCTATTGTGCAAAAATCCTCACTGTCCTATGTATTTACTTACTTCTTTACTTCTTTACTTACTTACTTACTTACTTGCTTGCTTGCTTACTTGGCAGCTCACAGAACTGAGTTTCCAAGCGCCTCAGGTACATATATATATATACATGCATGTTAAACAAGGAATAAGATGAATATTCAGGCTCTAAACACTGAAAAGGGGAGGCTGTGGCAAGAGAATGATAGGTGAGGCATCGAAGAAGGTCGTGTGCTACTGACGAGAGAATGAGAAAAGTAAAGCTAGAAATTGCCGAGTGTAGAGTTGGAGAGGTGTGAATTGGTTACTCGCGTGCTATGAATCGCCGAATTTGCAGGAGTACATGTGTGGTAAGTATGGAGAGGATGATGGCTGTGGAAGAAGATGGGAGGTGCGGTTGGGAAGAGAGAGAGGGTAGTGCAACATGTTGTTTATTGTAAGTTATGGTGCATAGGAATAGGAGAATAATATCTCTTAGTACTATCCTGAGGATTTTGCACGATGTATTTGCTAACATGATGTCAATATCCTTATCAAGTGCTTGTTCTACAAAAGACTTCAATATGCTGACTTGTGGATTTTCTAAAGCAACGTGTATAACAAGTTCTACACCTCCACCTCTAAATAATTGTGGCTCGTTGCACAATGACTATATCACGTAGTCAAACTATGCATCTACAGCACTGACGGTGCGCATAGTGCTATGCAATCTCTGCTTAGCGTTTGTACTAACAACTTTATAATTACTGCCTCAAAACTACAACACCCGAACCCAATAGTACAAAGACTTCTAAAACGAATAGTTATACTGCCTATTGCATGGTTCTTTCACCCTATGCATCTTCCATGCTCTCCCCTGATCAATCAATAGTCACTGAAAAATAGAGCAGTCCACTATTTAGTATCAAGACTTGACTCGAGACGGCCCGCTTAATCTAAACCATCATTAATCTAAGCCATCAGCCAGCGAGGTTGCTAGAAGCTACCACGAGGCAAACCCAACAACACAAAATTTATGAACAATCTTGATTAATACTAGTGATGCAGCAGCCGCCAAGAAAAAACAATGCAGCAGTTGCTGCGCTAACTACACAGTCCCGCGCCAAAGCCCAAAGCCCTATGCCCGAACGGGGTGAGAACAAAGAGTCCTCTAAACGGTGTCGTGCCAGCAGTCGCCAGTAACATCCGTGCCAAGGTGGCCAGCAGTGCTGGTCCACTCGTCACGGCAAGTCGCCTCCCATGGCGCTCCGTCAATTCCCCTTCCAGTTCCCTTGTCAACGCACTAGGGAAAAAAAAGTAAGTAAGCATGTCTTTGATGGTTTTGAGAACCATGGCTTGGGTCAACTTACAGAGTAGCCATCTGGAAGAAGCGTTAGTTATCTGAACAAGAGAAGATACAAAGGTTTTGAAGACTTACCAAAGTGGGTGTTGGGGTTGTTGTTCCTGGCCCAGCGGTCGCACGTCTTGTGGCTGAGGTCGACGTCGTACTTGCCCTGGATGTCGCAACCGCAGTTGTGGTGCTTGCCGGCAATGGCACTGGAATCATATAAGATCAACCATAGTCCACGTTTAGTGCTCACAAGGTAGAACTCTTACCTGCCAATCAGGGACAGAAGTCCAAGGATGATGGTGGAGGAACGCATGGTTTTGGTGGTTGGAAGGGGGGAAGTTGGAAGTTGAGGTTGGAAGATGGAAGACTTGGTCTTGTTGTTGTTGCCTTGAAGCTCTTGGTAGTGGATGGATAGCTACAGAGCTGCGAAGCAGCATCTTTATAGCATTTCAGTCGGCTTCAACTGAGGTATAGTTAGCTTGATTGGGATTGTAGGAAATCCGTGCTCAAGGCGGGTCAGTCGATGGACTGACCGTATTATCGCATTATATCGGACCGAGCTGGTCGTGTCGCTGCATGTTATCCAGATGTATCGGACCGCGCACAAGACTTGAGTGAATGTAGACTCTTGGTATGAGACGCTGCAGCGTATTCTCAGTCGCGAGTAGATGGACGTGGACATGGCAGTTGAGATGGATCTTGTCAAGTCTGTATTATGACTATCACTGTATACTTTAGGACACCAAGTGCAACGGGTCCTAGCCTAGTTAGTGCTTAACATTGAGGGGTACAACAGGCAGTAGAGACATGGTACTGCAGGGACAAGGCCGTACAGGCTTCTGGATGCACGGTTCCCGTAACTGTGTTTCTAACGGCCTGTAATTACCGTAACGCTGCGATACAGTGACTGTTGTGGTAACAGAAGTGCCCATCTCTTGTCGCTGGACATATTATCCACTTCTATCGGACCGCACAGAACATGTCGGTCGATACAGGACGCTGTGGAAAGCATTTGGCGCTACTACAAAGGGTTAGGTAGCAAAAGGCTTCTGTGCTACTAAGAACGCTTGGCTGACTCAGGCAGTGCCGTTTTCTAGATCCACCACCAGGGGTCGCAATCCTATAGGTACTAAATGCTGGTCGCCTTGTCGACTTTTAGCCGCAATAGTACAACAAGGGGTCAGATTAGCCAGTAATACATAGTGAGATTTGAAAGGCGCTACCCCTTGTGTAGGCTATGAATGGTTGAACTGAATGATGTAGGTACATGAATATACAGCCTTGTGAAATCTTCTGCATTGGCAGATTCAAATCACTCATGCGACAAATTACTCAAGTCTTGACAAGCGGAGACTTGGCATTGCCAAGGGCTAGGCATCCTGTTGTTAGCAGTTAGCTGAAATGAGCTGGATTCTGTAGTCCTAGAGATAACTAGGTCTATCGGATGCTCATTGGGTGCAAGCCCGATCAGTGCGGCGCTTATAGGCATTCTGCCAAACGCTATCGGTCCGAGCACAAAGACATACTTAGTCATGATCCCCATTAACCAAGTCTATCGGTCCCAGCATGAAGGCCACGACACGTCTTTCAAGGATACTTGTGGCGCTGGTAATAAAGACCCAAAACTTCGTCTCAACATGAGCAACTATAACGAGGATAAGTGTTCATATATGTCTTTTATGAGGTGTACACAACTTGGCGCCTAAAATACAAGTGTTTTACCTAACCTGCTAAAACGTATATGCAGAATGTGAATAACTGTTTATGCTGTTCGCTTACCTACTTGTTATGTCCTAGTAGTTGTCTTGTTAATAGTATTGCGCTCTATTTACGCTCAATCATCCAGACAAATCACCTATCATCTACTAATGTGGCACGCCTAACCCAATCTTTGCTTCCTGCAACTTGGCGTAAAATATCCCTCAGACTGATGAGAGTCTATTTCAGTATGCAAGAAAAGGATCCATTATGTTCGGGTTCGGGAGGTTGTTGTTGTTGATCTTTGCTGAATGCATGGGGCTGCTAACAAGGGGTATCCCAATCGCACCAATAGCTACCACAAGGAATAGCAGTATGCATATTAAGCAATACGATTACGGGCGCAAAACAAAAAAAAAAAACATTGCACAGGAGTTTGCGTCCTTAACGGTGCTTTGGGGAAATGCAGCAGAATAACCATCTTCTCAGGCTATACTTCAACGCTCCACACAATATACGAATAGCTATCTTCATAATTAAATTATTAACTACTTGTTGCATGCAGAGTATAAGGTAAAGCACCTGACATTTATTCTGTATCGCGTACCCTATTGCGTTGTGAGTCTGCCGTGTGAGCCGTCGAAATCACTCCGAGAACAAAGCGTTCCCTAATAACCCGTTTTCCTTGCTGTCTCACTTTGTTATGTCGACAACTTCTATAGCACTTGGATACTTGTAGCGGTACTATTCTCTGATATTCCAAGTAGTGTTTTCTTCATGTAGTGATTTTATACTTTATAAGGTTCTTATGGTATAAGGTTCTGATATTATATGACCTCAGCTTACCTTAGTCATGGCGCCCACTCCATCATCGCGCTTTCGCTCTACCATGAAGTCTGAATTGAATACAGCTCTAATTCAGGGTCCAGTTTACAAGCGATCGCTTGGCAGCTTTGAATTCTAGAGGCACCTGCAGATCTAATAGGAGTCCCAGGGTCCTGCTTGGCGGGGAGATTTTGAAGCGACATGGGGCGCTGCGCTGACACAAGCATGACAAATGTGGGTGGAACTTTGTTCTGGTGGTAAGCATTGAAGTTTTCGGTCGTACAGCAAAACCAGACATAATGCTCCAAGACGTGAAGGCCATTTTGAAGAGCTATGACGGTATAAGGGCAGGTAATGTTTTTTTTGCTGATTCTGTTGATCCCTCGCTCTAGGCAGCCTTGAGTGGAGCAAACGATGTGGTATTGCAGGGCTGTAGCCTGTAGGAGCAGTCTAGAGAATACAAAAGAATCATGCTGTTCGCGAAGCAAAACTTTAGAATTCGGTCTTGTTTGAAGTGAGATCATCAGCCTAGACAACTGATTCTCCTTTGTTGTGCTTTGTTGACTATCTCTACGTTGCTTATCATTTCTCTGCGACGTTAATAGCCATCAGTTCATTGTTGCAGAGTTCAATTATTTCTGTAAGTAATAGATTTGTGCTGACTGAGTGTGAGTCACAATCTTTTAGGGTATATAGTAGAAGATGGTAGTAATGCACTCTATCTTATCGCTGATAAATAAATCAGTAGGTAGTAATGCATACCATTGGTACGATTCGATCACTATCAGAAGTTCTGTGAGTACCAAAGATATTATATAACTCCTCTTAGAAAGAGAGATTGAACCTTTTTGATACTTAATGTCCGTCTCTAGTCGGATACTACATCAGGGTAGGCGTAGCTCACACCTTTACAACTATGAATGTTTGTAAAAGCCCACGGCCTTGGGCAGGTACAAGAAACCGTTTAAGACGATTTTAACATCGATACAATATCGCATGAACCAGTGATGAAATGGCCTACCAGATGACCTGGCTACAAGTTGGATCAATGATGAAGCTTAGTAGATGTGCGTGGTTTTATCCGCTCACTTTATTTTTGAGACAGCGGATACAACGAATTCATCTCACACCTATCTAATGACATAGTTTCTAAGCTCCCACATCGTTTCCAAGAAACAACGCAAAGCCTAGCTAATACCAGCGATCCATGTCGGGAGTAAGCCATCTGAAGAATAGTGACTGAAGGATTGTTAAGGTTGATTACATCGCATCAAGGACGCATTTCTAGACCCTCGAATTGCGAGAACGGCTCGCGAACGGTATGTTTGGAGCAGCACAATACATGAGTAAAATGCAAATGAAGCCATCTAGCGATAAGTCTTGTCAGCGGTCAGCCCACAAGATGGTCACGTGGTTAAACATGTGGCACTATTCCAAGGCGGCACAGCAACATGGAACGTGTGTTACCATATCCTCTGTCTAATAGCGATATGATTTGCATCAATGGTGTCTATTTCACAAAATGGCGTAGTATATCACAATGTACGTATCTTTATGTTGCTCACGTGATCTGACATGGGCCTTGCACGAGTCGAATGGGCCCGAATGACGGACATGGAGATCTTCCCCAGGTTCTTTTAATTCCCATGTGCCGATAGCCGTGGTGGAGATAGTGAGAATGCGACTGGTAATAAGAGAGTTGATCCAGGTACGCGGGATGGTTTCGGTACAAGCAGTTCCATTGCACCTGATTTCTCGAGAACTGAGTGGCGAAAAATCAGGACAAGACGCATGTGACAGAAAGGAGATATATTTCCCCAGGGTGTGTAGATAGTTTGGCGCCCGCCCAGGAGAACCTAAGCCCGCTCAATATTTGCTCGGATCACGGCAACCTCCATGACAATCGGAACGTGTCTGATAACCACCGGATGAAATACGGTTCTACGTATCACCAGTTTTTCCGTTGAAGTTTCCAGCTCACTCTAGCACTAGTATCGGCCCGGTGGTCCAAAGATAGTTTCGAGCAAAAGCGCTATACCAAGTGATGCCGAACAAGACTGATAAAGAAGAGCAGCAATACGTCGCTGTCGTCTTATGGCCGTTGATACTGGATGCATAAAAAGGGACTTGATTAGCAGGCACATATGGACCCATGGCCGGGTTTGCTTGTGGCGATTAGTGCCATATTCGGCAAAAGGTTAATATAATATATACGGGTGACGGCAATGGTTAAACAACCCACCACCAATAGCTATCTCACCCACCTCGAAGCCGGGGCCCCCTGCATAGCGCGCTTGGCTGCATCATTAGTGGTATTATATATTACTTACGCTTGTATAGCCGTGCAGTAGTAATCTTAAGTGCCTAAAGATAGCTAGTATGTAAGCAATAAGTAGGTAGTGTTGCGCAGTTAAAACAGAAATCGCAGAAGCAGAAAAGTAATGCTTAAAAACTAGCTATATTACCTAAGTTTTAGTGTTCAATATAGCCTAAAAACTAGCCTAAAATAGGCTCCTAGCTACTCACCAAAAAAGCTATGGCTGGCGTAGTACGACGATCGCGTTAGCTAACTGTAATAGGGCTCCTAATCATCATCGCGCCTTTCGCCACTCAAGTTTAGTAGTAAATTTAGGTGGAGAGGCAAGTGGTATGGAGGATAGGAATGTTGCGCGACAGCCGGGCGGTCGAGGTGGCCGAAACGGGCACCCGGAGGCCCATTTTGAAGCCCTATCGCGAAGCCTCCGTGGGCGGAGCCGTACGCGAGCGGTGGTTGGAAAATCGGGTGGGCGG